GGAATAGATAAACACATAGAGACAGAAAGTAGATTAGTGGTTGCTTAGGGTTGGGGAGAAATGTGGGAGGGAAAGGAGAGTAAGGGATGAGAGCTAAGGCCATGGGGGTCCTTTCCATCGTGATGAAAATGTTCAAAAATAACATTTTTTTGAAAAAAATGTTCAAAAATTGACTATGGTGATGATTGCACGTATCTGTGAATATATTAAACACCACTGAATTGTACACTTTAAATGGGTGAACTGTATGGTATGTGAATTATATCTCATTAAAATGGTTAAAATAAAAGAGGCAGTGAGATTCCTACCCAGGTTTCAGGCCTAAGCACGTGGTGCAGGCCAGTTTACCATCCCTACACTAGCGGTGAGGAAATAATGACGTGACCACTGTTCTCGTTTTTCTATTGTCTTTATTTCTTACAGGGCAGAGTGGCAATCATTCAGGCAGAATCGGGCTTTCACGTGTAAACTGACTGAAATACCATTTTAATACCCTCAAAACCTTGCCTAATACATACAATATGGATGAATCTCCAAACATTATGCCGAGTGGAAGAAGACAGAGCAGAAAGACTCTCTTCACAATTCTATTTATATGAAGTTCTAGAACAGGCAACACAAATCTCTGGTGGAAAAAAATCACATCAGTGGTTGCTTCTTGGGCTTTTGGGGCAGGGACTGAGTGGGAAAGGGCATGAAGGAACATTCTGGGGTATTGGAAATGTTCTGTATCTTGAGAGGGGTTTGAGTTATACAAATTTTTTGCATTTATAAAAACTCACGGATGAAACACTTAAAATTTATGCATTTCAGTGTTGCAATTTTACTTTAAAAAACGAACCATGAACAATACTGGCCCTTTTTAATGATTTGCTTGCTGAAGTGTCTGGGGGAGACATTCAGTGATGACTGAAACTTACTTTGAAATGTGTTAAAAATAAGATGGAGGGACTTCCCTGGTGGTGCAGTGGTTAGGAATCCGCCTGCCAATACAGGGGACACGGGTTCGAGCCCTAGTTCAGGAGGATCCCACATGCTGCAGAGCAACTAAGCCCGTGTGCCACAACTACTGAGCCTGCGCTCTAGACCCCGTGCGCCACAACAAGAGAAACCACTGCAATGAGAAGCTGGCGCACCGCAACGAACAGTAGCCCCCGCTCGCCGCAACTAGAAAAAGCCTGTGCGTAGCAACGAAGACCCAATGCAGGCAAAAATAGATAGATAGATAGATAGATAGATAAATAAATAAATAAATAACAAAATAAGATGGATTGACGGATGGGTAGACAGATACATGAAAAAGCAAATAAAGCAAAATGTTATCAATTGTAGAAACTAAGTGGTAGTTATATGGCTGTTCACTGTACAATTATCTTCAACTTTTCAGTGTGTTTGAAATTTTTTTATTAAAGAAGATACTGGGAACCAATATTTTAGAAACAAGTAAAAATCTTACCCTGATTTCTAGTCAATGCCTAGAACAATCTGATGAAAACTGTGGACCTCTTCTCAGAGGCACACGTTCCTACAGAAATAAATTTTGCCTGTAATGGGCCTCCTAAAGCCCATTTATGGATACCTGATGTGTGCAAAGAGTTAATGGTTTAATGGCTTTCTAGATGTAGATGATGTGCAAGGAGTCAAGGGCAATTTGGCGAATTTGGGGAAAATATCAATGAAAGGATGATGGTGCACATTTTAACTATATGAGCACGTTTCTGTTACCAGTTTCAGTGGTTTCTTTGTCTGGCAGTCTGCTTCCTCATTTAGCATTGTATTAATAAAGTTGCTACTGACTGGCTGCCTTAATGTTTTCATTGTTTATTTCCGACAATCAAGGGTTCTTAGCCTAACCATCGTTTCTTCCTAAGTCTTGGAGACAGGAAGAGCAAGCACAAATGGATTTTCCACACTCACACCCATGATGTGTTATAGACTCAAGACAGGGCAGCGGGCATCAGTTAGGTGCAGAATCTGCTGAGACAGCAAAGGCAGGAGACTCTCAAACAACTGACTTGGTCCTCCACTTCGGTCACTCATTGGGTGAGCCATCGAATACAAGGACGTGGAGTTGTGGTGTTATGGCCTATTTGACCTTTGAAGGGCTGGGCTCCATTCATACAGGGTACTTTCAAGAGAGACGAAGATACCAATGGATCCCCTACATGAAATGTCTTAGAGGGAAGTAGGTAAGAAATCAGGCAGTTAGGCTGCCAATAAATAGTTACATCAATAAAATTCTTTGGACTCGGTTTCTTTATCAGGATCAGGAAAGATTTACACTGGATACACAGTCAATTAATGTTTCCTAGCCATCTAGTGGTTCCAAGCACTGTGCTAAGCTCTTTCATGTATGTCACCTCATTTTAACCTAGACCACAATTCTCTTGCTGCTGCCATTCCCATTTTACAGATAAGGAGACCAAGGCCAGAGGTTATGTGGCTTATCAAAGATCACATGGCCATAAAGGTCTCGAGTCCAGTGCCCCCTTGACCATTCCTGCAGCTCAACATTTCTATGACTCTTTCAGCTGGAGTTGGCATGAATGTAAACATTTGACAACGCAATTAGTTTTTCTCCAGAGAACGTCCATGGTTCAGCACCCACACCAACACACAGGATACAGAGAGAGTCTTCCCTGAACTCGCTCTCCCAGGGAGAACCACTGTCCTTCCAGGACGATTCTTCCTACCTTTGTCATTCTCAGAAACCAGCAGCATGACAAATAACAATAGGGGCAGTATCTCCTGGAGAAGCAGACACAAGGCTCTGATCTATCCCCTTCCAGGGACCTGTGTGCCTCTGCTCTGAGGGGTCAAGGCAGCATTTTCTGGGGGTTTTCTTGGTGGGGGTGAAGCCTGCCAGGTGTGTCCTGTGGCAGCAAGCCCCGTGCTCTCTGGCCTTCCCCCTCCTCAGTCCTGATGCCCACAGCACCTTCCACCCCCAGTGAGGAGCTGTGGGGAAACACAGCAGGTGCAGGGTGACTGACAGCGACCTCAGCCCCCCAAAAGTGGGTGCCCCAGGAAGGCTGCAAGGCTCCTCAGAGGGCACCTGACCCACTTCCTCACAGACGTGTCTGCCTCCACCAGCAGCCCCCACAGGTCTCAATGCTGAAAACTCAGTCTAACTTGTTGGACAAGAGGTGTTTTCCACCAGTGGAAGAAGAGAGGCTGAGAGCAAGATCTAGAACAAGAGCTGCGTGCACACGCATGCGTGCACACACACACACACACACACACACACGGGAATAAACAAGCAACAGATGGAGAGAAAGAGAAGGGGGGCTGTTAAAAGTGATAGAGGAAGAGGGTGGATCGGAGGTGGTAGGAAAAGAGAGGAAAGGAAGAACAGAGAAAAGCAAACCACTGCAAACAAGCACAAGGTAGCAGCCTTCATATCTCAAAACAAAGGTTCTGCAGGACACTTTCCTCAGCTCAGGATGACTTCAGCCTCTGAGGATTCTGGCAGAGCTGAACACTGTGCCTAGATGTGCTTTCCTGCCCTGGGACCCAGGTCCGACCCATCAGCTCCCTCTCGGGCCACAGTGACTGGTTCTCGCCTCGGTGCGTGACTCAAGGCAATGTAGTGAAACTTCATCCCAGCAGCTTTCTTGGAACCATTCTGAAAAGGAAGCTCTCTTCCACTGTGACTTTGGGTAAAAGGATGAGGAAAGCCTGGAGTTGCCAGAGACCACCACACAGGGAGATCCTACCTGAGGATGAAGCCAACACAGAGGGAAGCAGAACGGCAAGGTGGAGACACATTCCTGACAAGCTCTACTAAGCTCCTGGATCCAGCTATGCCTGAAGCCACGCCTACCCTGGGACTTTCAAGTATATGATCTGAATCCCTTTTAGGCTTAAGTCAGTTTGAGTTGGAGGTTCTGTGGCTGGAAACTGAAATAGTCCCACTAGAATATGAAAACCCACCTATCAGTCTTGCCTTTTATGCCAACTCCCAGAAACGTCACCTGAGGAGATACCCAGTTCTCCTGACAAAAATGGTGGCCAGCAGGGCCTGGGACTGTCCCACAAGACAAACACAAAGGCCAATAAGAGAACTGCTGAATAATGATTTTTTAAAAGTGAGACTATCACAGGGAGAAAGGAGGGCTGTGCTCAGTCAACATCGGGAGGTGTTGTGACTCTCAGGCCCTTGGCACCTGGGCTTGCATGGGCCCCTTCCTCCACTAAAAGAAACGTCAAAAATTATATCTTACAACTGCATTGTACAGAGATGAATATAATCCAGGCTCATATTCTCTTTTTTCTTATTATTAAAAAAAAAATTAAAACGTTTTCATGGGCCCTGAAAGCATCGTGGGCCCTGGGCACTGTGCCTGATCTGCCTAATGGAAATGCTGGCCCCAGGCCCATATTATCCAGACTGCTTGCCTGTACTGTCCAGGCTCCCTAGAGACAAACCTGATTTTATTTCCTTGTCTAGAGGGGTGGAAGGTCTGAGGAGTCCCTCAGAGCCCAGGCTGGCCTTTCTCTCTCTACATGCTAACACTTCCCTGGGTCACCACAGTTTGGCCTCGCCTTCGGGGTACCCACTGCACTGGGTCACCCCTGTAGCCTGGCATTGTCACTCTGCATGGTGGGGAGCTGCTCTCGACCTGTCAGGTGACAAGACCAGGAACGCCTTGATGACCCATGTCTGGTTCATTGATGTGCCCCAGGTCCCAGCTCAGGCCAGGCACAGAACAGACCCCCAACAGGGGAGGGACAGAGGACAAAGCCTGCTTCCTACTTAGGAAACTCTTGTCACTTAGGATTTGCACTCAGGCCAGGCAGGACACAGAAGGGAAGGAGGCAAGCCGTGTGGGGATGCAGTGGACTGGAGGTCTTTCTGGGTCGCTGTCTGCATCAGAGGATGACGTGCTGACCTGCAAAGCTGGATGGGTGGCGGTTACGTGGGTCAGCCCAGCAGGTGGGCAGGCATGAGTCAGCAGGAGAGGCCCCAGGTGCGTTCCTCGCCCCGATTCCCCCTCACTCACCTTCATCACTGGTGTGAGGCTCGGTGCCATTGTCATGGTCAACTTCGTCGATGGTCCCTGGCTCGCTGTGCGGGCTGTCGCTGCAAGGAAACATAGGGAGGGGACTCCTGGGGGGCTTTGTACCTCACGCTGCCCTCAGCCTCCCGCAGGCGCCGGCCTAGCCCACCTCTGAGCCTTGACCCAGATCAGGCCAGGCCCACTTCATCCCAGTTTTTGATCTGACCACCCGCAGACCTTCCTAACAGAAAACCACTCCCAGCCCCCTCACCCATTGGGAAGATTCCCTGAATACCATCCCCCAACTGACCCCAGCCCTGAAATTTGCTGGGCTGTCTTCTTGGGAAAGGCCGTCAGTGCCTAAGTATTCTGTAAGATCTAGAAGGCAGTAAAACACCGACGTTTTTCCTCAGAAGGACCTCAGGCCAGAGCAGAAGGAACTTTGGAAGTACTGAGAGTCATCCATCTGGCCTGGCTCCCTGCCTGTCTTGCAGCAGAGGTGACAAGCTCAGCGAGGTGGGTGAAGCTCCCAAGGAGTGGGTTCCTCGGGGCTGCCTCATGGTGCTGCGTGCGAAATCCACATCAGCCCAGGTGGCGAGCAGGCTGGCAGCCATGATGGGCTTAGGGGCAGAGTGAGTCCAGGACCATCAAATTCTGTCATTAATGCACGGGGATAATTTCATCAGCGGCTGCCCCCTCACTGGATTGTAAGCTTCTTAAGGCCAGGGTTCATTCACATAGTGAGCCAATCAGTTTTTTTTTTTAATCAAACCATTGATTGAGTCTTAATCTATGCCAGGCATGGTGCTAGGTAAGAGGGATGCATTGACGGGTAACGTGGACACAAACTCTGCCCTCATGGGCTGAGAAACAGAAGTGCTACAAGTTGAAATATGTTATATAGGCACAAATGAGCAGAGACAAGAACAGGAGAGGGGACCTACATAGGGTGTCAAGGAAGACTTCTTGAAGGTGACATTTACAATACCATTTAAAGGAAAATGGACTTTATTATGAAAAATTCTCCTGGATAAGTTCCAGACTCTGCACAATGGCTTAAGACCTTTCGTAACCTGGCTCCTGCCGGCCTGTGGGGCCTCCTCCTTCACCATTCTCTCGTCACATGCAACACTGCAGGCATACAGAACACTTTTCATTTTATTGCATGCTCCAGGCCTAGCACATTCTTTGCCCGCTCTCACCTGGCTGACCCAGTTCATCCTTCAGGTCTCAGCCAAGTCTCCGTGTTTCCTCCAGGAAGCCTTTCTTGACCTCCCTACATTGGCTCCAGGGCCCCTACTCCTAGAACTGCCTGTTTCCTCCCCCCTGTCTCAGGGGTTACTCCTGGTCAGGTTACATCCCTACTCCTCAGTCCAGGGCCTGGCCCAGGACAGATGCTCAGTAACCATTTGGTGAATGAGTGTTGTCCACTGTGATGAGACCCTCAACCAAATCCTCCTTTTTGGCTTTGAACACTCCTCCAAAATTACCATGTAATTAGTTTTCCTTTCTCATGGGGCACAAATGGGATTAAGAAAAGTGTGGTTACTGTATGTAGTGCTTTGGTAAGTATGCTAAGATCTGTACCTGCCTTCCCAGAGCACTAATTATATATACTGCAGCAAGAAAAGAAAACTGGTAATGGCCGCAAAAGCGATAAAGTTGAAAAGCTTCCTTTGTCTAAAAAGTGTGCTTGCTGGTTGTAGGATTTCTGTTACAGATCAGGGACAGACTGGCTCCAGGTGCCTCAGATGAGATTAGAGAGCTGTGGCCCGGTGTTTCTATGCAGAGAAGTGTTGCAGAGAAACAAGGAGGCTGGAACGTTTCCCTTCTTTGAAGCCGCTGCCCAAATATGCCCACAGAACTAAAGCGAGGCAAGAGTCCAGGAACGCTCTGACAATCAAAAGAGTAACTCCCCTGTAGGCATCTGGCTGAAAGCAGTGTGGGTAATACCTAAACATACAGCTGTGTGTTGTCCTGGATTGGGAAGAAAGAAAGAGTAGGAACCCTTTGGTTTTTGTCAGTTGGTGTTCTGAATTTTCTGTCTTCACAGAAATGTTCTATTTTCACCGTATTTTCAGGTCTTAGCCTGGGGAAGGTAGTCAGCCCTGAGTTTGATAAGATTCTAAAATATTTCTCCCAAGACCCAGTGTAGCACCAGGTACACAGAGGTGCCCAACTAGCACCTGCTGGCCTGGTGTGGAGCTCTCAAAGAAAGTGAGCAAACTTTGCCAGGAAAAGGGAACTCTAGATGGTAGGGGACAAGGGTGGGAAGTGTCATTCTCAGTTTAAGAGGCTGAGGTGGGGATTATCCAACCCCTGCTGCCTGAGATGGGCTTGCAGCTCACCTGGCCAATGACAGCATTACATACATCTCCTAATCGATGTGATTAGTTCACCAGACCCAAGCCTCAGGAGGAGACGTAATTCTTGGACTTGTGTTAAAACATTTGGGAAGGAGAAGCTCTTTTTCCACTGGGGATGGTGAGAGAACAGGCTCTAAACTGGCGTTACCAGATGCCTCTTTGAAACTACCAAGGGAGAGGCTGCCTGAGAATGAAGCCAATGTAGAAGAAAGCAGCCAGGGGCTGGGAATTGCAGGACTGAGTCCTGATGATAATAGTTGAACTCCTGGATCCAGCTATACCCAAAGCCATGATCCCAGACTTTATTTAGTTAAAACTAAATTCCCAATTGGCTTAAGCCAGTTTAGTTGTATTTCTGTCCCTCATAAATCAAGACAGTCTTGACTGGTGTACCTATGCCTCGTAGAAGGCTGGTGTACCTATGCCTCGTAGAAGGCTGGTGTACCTATGCCTCGTAGAAGGCTGGTGCGAAGCTCAAATGAGAAAATATATATGGGAGTACAGACTAAAAAGCAGTAAGAAAATCAAAGGGTTTCTTACTGTTCTGGTTCAACAGTAACAACAACAACGATGATAATAATAATATTAAGAAGAATGGAATCTTACCAATATTCTTCCCCTCCAGCCATGCATTTTTCATACACAGGTCCCTCTAGCTCCCGGGGGCTGGGGAAGATGGCTTCATGGTGGATGATGATGGTTTTGATGACTTCGTTGACATGTGCCTGGCAGGACACAGGGTCTTGCCCATCGGGGATGTGCATGAGGGTGGGCCCGAAGCAGATGGCCAGGTTGTAGGGATCCATCATGTTCTCGTCACTATATTGCGAGAGGCTACAAGAAAGGAGTACCCACAAGTCACCAGGGAAAGGTGAATCCTCCCCCGTGGTTTCTTTCTCTTAGGGGCTCTACTCACGTTCAGGAGGGTCCCATGTTCTAGGAACAGTTGTACCTACAAACCTCAGGACACCCCCTCCCAAAGGAGGCCAGGGCTGAGTCAAAGAGGGGGTCCCCCCTTTGGCTGGGCAACTCACTGGTTGAGGAAAGCAAAGAGGTATCTCATGACCACGATGACCACGCGGGGAAGGGTGATGAGGATTTGTTGGATCTGGTGCACCCTCTCAGCTGGGTTCTCCAGTTCTGTAACACAAAGGGACTTTTCAGGGCGCCTTTCATCATCAGAGAGCCAAGTAGCTGACATCTGTGAGTCCCACCTGTGAGATCAGCCCACGTGGTTCAGGGGGAGGCAGGTTTTTTGTTTTGTTTTAATTTATTTATTTATTTTTGGCTGTGTTGGGTCTTCGTTGCTGCACATGGGCTTTCTCTAGTTGCAGCAAGCGGGGGCTACTCTTGGTTGTGGTGTGCGGGCTTCTCATTGTGGTGGCTCCTCTTGTTGCAGAGCAAGGGCTCTAGGCACACGGGCTTCAGTAGTTGTGGCGCATGGGCCCAGTAGTTGTGGTGCACAGGCTTAGTTGCTCTGCGGCATGCGGGATCTTCCCAGACTAGGGATCAAACCGTGTCCCCTGCGTTGGCAGGCAGATTCTTAACCACTGCACCACCAGGGAAGCCCAGGGGGAGGCAGTTTTACTCTCAGTTCCAGGGATGGAAATGTGACCCTGGCCTGGCCAATCAGAGCATCAAATTCCCCTAGCCACAGGGCTGGGCCCAGGAAGGGGTCCATGGCCTAATCAGAACAAATCAGGGTTGATCCTTGGGACTCAGCTGGAGAAACCTAGAGAGAAGTTCCCTCTTGCAACTGGGTAGAGGAGCAGCTGGGGGCTCCCAGGAAAGAAGACGGTGTCCGGGAGTGCAGTCACCACAGAGCTGGAGGGGACAGATTCCTGAAGATGTCGTGTGAGGTCTGAGTCCAGCTGGGCCTTAACTTTTCAGATATATGAGCCACTACATTCCCTTTTACGGGTTAAGTCAGTGTAAGCTGAGTTTCTGTCACCTGTAGCCTATGAGTCCTGATGAACACAGGCAGGGACCAGGTTTTATTAGACTCTTTAAAAACACCAGCTGCAGCACAGGCCTGGCACAGAGTAGGTGCTCAGGAAATGAACACTGAATAAATAACCACCTCCTGAGCTGTATATTGGTCAAAGAGCCTGGTGATTCCTGGGCTCTTGTCTCTGACCCCCATTTTCAGGTCACCCCTAGAGATACAGACATTTAATCAGTCAAGCCAGAGTTGGGGGCAGCAAATTGGGCTTGGTAAGGAGAAAAAAGTGCTTTGTGGGCTTTTCTCTGTAGAGAGAGAAAGCTCAGGCTAAGAGTGAGCTACCAAAGCTCCAATGATTATCTGCAGGGCTGATGCATAAACCCATGTCAGTTTCTTTTTCAGAGAAAAACATGTTTTTCTCACTCAGCCCCTCCTCTCTCCAGCCTCCAGATCCTGTCAGCACGTTCCTTTTAAAACACAGCTTCCCTCTTTCTCCTCTGTATCCAAGGCCCTTCATGATGCAGCTTCAACCACCCTTGCCTGCTTCACCTCCCAGCTGCCGCCCCTTCTCCAAGTATCTGAAGATGACTGAGAGCCATGCTTCTCAGATGAAGTGGGTGTGCACCTCTGGGGCACTAACAAATATGTGGGGCATTCACAAATATGTGGGGCATTCTCTGGGGTTGTTGCAGTGACTGGAGGGTGCCACTGGCATTTGGGATCCAGGGGCCAAGGTGCTAAGGGTCCTGAATGTGTGGGACACACAAGAAGGCACTGCTCTACCCAAAGTGCCAGTAGTGCCCTGCAGAAGAACTGTGCCAGGCCACCTTAGCCACCCCCCACCCCTCCACCCAAACACACGAAGGCTCTCCTGCTCCAGGCCTTTGCACACCCTGGTGATCTCTCTTCTCCATCTGGCATGCTCCAGCCTACCTTCAAGGTCTGGCACCTCACCAAGGCCTCCACACAGAGTGGAAGGCTCTGGCACACATATCGAGTCCACTGCCCCCCATACAGGCCCCTCCATGTCCTTGGCTTCAGTCACACTGCCCTAGACCACCTCCACTACTGTTTATTAATACTGTTTTCTTAAATACATTTCTTTAAAAAAGGAGACCTTGGGCTTCCCTGGTGGTGCAGTGGTTGAGAGTCTGCCTGCCAATGCAGGGGACACGGGTTTGTGCCCCGGTCCGGGAAGATCACACATGCCGCAGAGCAGCTGGGCCCGTGAGCCATGGCCACTGAGCCTGCGCGTCCGGAGCCTGTGCCCCGCAACGGGAGAGGCCACAACAGTGAGAGGCCCGTGTACTGCAAAAAGAAAAAAAAAAAAGGAGACCTTACCTCACTCTGTAAAGGAGAAACCAGGATCACTTGCCATAATTAGAAGGTAACATAAAAAGAGATACAATGAAAGCAAAACAATGCTACCAAATTATAGGTAGACATTGTTTTATACAAAAGTTTCTGAGACTGAGGCCCTGCTCTCTCTGTTTAGCAGGGAGATTGACTTGTACGTTGGGGGCAGAGGGGGTTACTCCTTGATGTAACCAAGGCTTTGGGAGGGAACTGAGGAGGGACTTTTCCTCTCACACTGTCATTCAAGGTGCACAATGCCATGATCTTGTACCAGGGGCCAAACACCTTGTCCGCTCAGGAACTGGTCTATTGGAGCTTCTGGAAATACTGGCTGAGCAGGTGACACAGGGCTCAGACAGGGATGGGCCTCTGTGGCCTGGGATTTCTGAGAGGTGGTCTGGAGCCTGAAGTGGATCAGGAAAGATGAGCAGGAAGTAGTGGGGGGGCAAAAGAGTGGAGGAAGCGCCTTTCACACAAGACAAATAAGAGGGTTCAAGCCTCCCTAGGCTCTTGTCACCTCCTGGGGCACTTCCCTGGCTGCAAATATCCCTCAGAACATTGTGAGAAGCATCCCTAGTGAAACGGGGTGTGGGGCAACTTTTCTGTAACTCAAAGAGTTTATTAAAAAAAAAAAAGAGTTTATTCCAAAATACTAACATTCTAATATTCTAAAATTAAAAGTTTATTTTAAAAAATACTCCCAAAAGATTGTCGTGGATTTTGGCATCTTACAGTCAAGGTGCCTTTACTTCAGCCCCTAGATTGGGCTCCTGCCTTTATCCACAGAAATACTAGTCAAGAAGGACTCTCATGGCTAGTGATGTCAGAGGAAGCCCACAATCAACTTATTTTCATCATTTCCCTGTTTGCCATATTGCTGACCTGACTCCCAAACCTTCCACGGCTCCCTGTAACCCAAGGGGAAAAGCTCTGGAATCCTTGCAAGGCATTCAAGGTCTTCCCTTTCTTGCTCCATCGGACCCTTCCAGCATCTTACACCATGTACTGGCTGGGACACCCTCCTGCTGGTCCCATTGATCTGTGTGTCCCCAACCCTTCCTAGGATCCCTGAGTCCACTCCTCCCCGAAGACTCTACTCACATCATTCTCCGTCAGCTGTGATCTGAGAAACCAAGGCTCCCTCTGCCTCTTCTCTTCTGAGCTCCTCCCATACCCAGAGGTGTACCATGCCCATGAGTCCTTCTATTATAAACCATCTTGTTATTTCCACAACTAGGTTTTAAGTTCCATGAAGACAAGAGTCATATGGCTTCTTTCAAGGCACCCCTCCCCTGCAGCGATGAGCCTGGAGTGCAGCTTCAATAAAGATTGGTCAAGAAATTGATCATTCCACCTGGGAAATACTTACTAATAGTAGATATCAAATCTTGAAACCTTTCCTTAGGAAAGAGTGGGTTTTCCAGTCCTCGGAAATACAGTTTTAGAACGCCAGCGACTGAATTGATATCTCGTTCATTTTGATCATCCACAAGCGGGTCTTCACCTAAGGGGAAACAGGAGATGACGATTCAGCTCAGTAAGGGGGCAGGGTGTGTGCAGATGGTGGAAGAGGTGACCTGGCCCAGCCTGAACTGGAGGACAGATGTGACAGCCTCCGCCACACAGCATGCTTAGGGTGCTCCCTGCAGCGGATTCTGAAACTGCTCCAACCTCTAACAACGCTGTAGAATTAAAATAATGAACATCCGTCACCCTACAGTTACACTCATCTTGCCATATTTGCTCTCCCTCCATTTCTCTACTTATATTTAGTACTGCTCAATTATTTGAGAGTGTTTTGTAGACATTACAACACATCACTGCTAAATACTTCAACATGTTCCTCCTCAGCATAAGGCTATTCCCCTACGTAACCGTGTATTACACCTAAGAAAATTAACAAGAGTTCCAAAACACCGTGTCACAGACTTTACCCAAACATTCCCCATTGTCCCACGTCTTTCATAGAATTTTTCAAACGCTAAGATCTAATCAGTGTTCACACAATTCATTCAGTTGTTATGCTTCGTTAGTCTTTTGAATGCAAAACAGACCCCAACATTTTTTATTGTTAGTTTGTTTTTCATAACATTGACTTTTATTGAAGAGTCCAGGCCAACTGCCTTGTAGAATGCCTCACGTTCAGGATCTGTCTGATTGCTTCCTCATGGTTAGAGTCAGGTTAAATATTGTGGCCAAGAATACTATGTGGGTAATGCTTGATCACTGGGTTAAGGTGGTGGCCTCTGGATCTCTACACTGTAAAGGTATATTTTCTCCTTTGTAATAACAAGTGTAAAATATAAAATATTTTTGTAAACAATAAGTGATCTATGTGCATGTCATCATTCTTAACATATTTTACCCAGTGCTTTGAGCATCCAGTGATAACTTTTGCCCAAATCAATTATTACCCTGCGGTTCTAACAAAATGGTGATTTTCTGATTCTGTCATTCCATCTACAATTATTAGGTGGCATTCTTCCCTAAAGAAGAGCTTTCTCCGTGTTCCCTCCACCCTCCTATTTTTTTTTAAAACATTTTATGGGCTTGTTTTTATAATTTTTAATTAAAGTGTTATAACCCGCTACATCACTATTCATTGGGGTGCTCAGATTGTCCCCAGATTTGGCCAGGGGGAGTCCTTTCTTATGTCCTTTGATGCGACCTCTATTGAGCACTTAATTGCTTACTGGCATAAAAAATGTCCCTGAATCACCTGGTACTTTCCTTGACCTAGACCTGGAATAAAAAACTTCTCTCAGGAGCTTTGTTTGCTTTTTGCAGGGCATGGTATTTAGAAACCAAGATCTCGGTTCTAGGTGTGCTCATTGCTACAGGAGTGTCACAAAGAACATCTAGGCTCTTTCAGTACATAGAGCTAGAATATACATATTTTTTTTTCACAAGTTCACACTGATATTTCTAATTCATGTTTAAGGTACAATGTTTTATTTACCTTCATTTATTTTGTATTTTCATTTCATTTTTCTTACAGTGAAAATCTTGTTCTGAATAGTATTTATAATTGATATTTTAATGTATCTGCCTTATCCTACAATATACATAAAATAGTTTCAGATGCTTTTGTTTTTGTTTTTTTTGTGGTACATGGGCCTCTCACTGTTGTGGCCTCTCCCGTTGCAGAGCACAGGCTCCGGACGCGCAGGCTCAGCGGCCATGGCTCACGGGCCCAGCCGCTCTGCGGCATGTGGGATCCTCCCGGACCAGGGCACGAACCCATGTCCCCTGCATCGGCAGGTGGACCCTCAACCACTGCGCCACCAGGGAAGCCCTAGTTTGATTTTTAATAGCAATATCACCACTAGCAATAAACCTACTACATAAAAATTAACGTTTATTTGCAGGGCTTTTTTTGTGTTTTAGGCCCTCAGAATGTATCCCACTAAAGACATATGATCAGAAGACAGAAAGTAGATTAGTGGTTGCCTAGTGATGGGGGCTGGGGTGTAAGCGGTACAGGGAGTGACTATAAATGGGTACAGGGTTCCTTTTAGGGATGATGAGAATTTTCTGAAATTAGATTATGGTGATGATGTACAAATCTATAAATATACTAGAAACTACTAAAATATACACTTTAAAAAATGGATGAGCCTTATGGTATGTAATTCCATAGAGCTTTTAAAAAAGTGTATGACCAGAGCACATGCTGAAAAGTTACTCTCTGTATGGTTGTCAGTCTGATATACAGCTTATTTGTTTCTATTTATACTCAATTTTAGGAATTTAATTGTTTTAGAAATCCTTTTTTTTTAAAGTATGCAATTTTGAAAATATAAAGCATCCACATGTTCCAGGAGTCCTAACCAGATAAAAAGTTGCTTGCAGAGAAGCCCTATTCTTATTCTTCTCTCCCTACACCTTACATTTAACCATTTTCATTAGTCTCTGGTTTGTCCTGCTAATCTTTGTTTCTGCAAAAATAAGCAAATACACATATACAATTTTTTTACCTTCCCTCATTTCTTACATAAAATGAACGTGGCACACTCTGCTACTACATATACTTGTTTCTTCTCTAAACAGTAAATCCTAGAAATCCCTCCTTGTCAGTTCATACAGATCTTCCTCATTTTTTTTTTTTTATGGCCGCAAACGACTCTATTTCATGGATAGACCATAATGTAGTCAACCAGTCTCCTATGGATTGACATTCCCATCTTTTGCTGTTACGAATACTGCCACAACAAATAACCTTGTACCTGTGTTTCTTATTCATAGAGGTGTGTCTCTGTGGTAGGTTCCTAGAAGTGGGATTACTGGGTCAAAGGGCAAACAAACGTGTAGTTTCATCAGATAAAGCCAAATTCTCCTCTGGTGGGGCGGCACCATTTTCTCCTCCTCCCAGCAACATAGGAGAAGGCTGCTTTTCCATAGCCCTGCCCATGGAATGTCTTTTAAATTTTTGCCAATTGCACAGGGGAAAATATCTCAGGAGAGCAGCACTTTTCAGTTTAATGGGGGTTGCTGAGCTAGTTCACCACCAGGATTTCCATGGGGGACGTGAAAGGAAGCAGGCAGCAACCTGACACCTCCCTGAAGGTGCTGAGAGAGGTCTGTTCACTGGGCTTCTCCTCCTCCTGCCAGAACAGCCCAGAGCAATCTAAGTCTGGTAAGTAATGAAGAGCAGAACTGCGAGCTTCCCTGGTGGTGCAGTGGTTGAGAGTCCGCCTGCCGATGCAGGGGACGCGGGTTCGTGCCCCGTGCCGGGAAGATCCCACATGCCGCCGAGCGGCTGGGCCCGTGAGCCATGGCCGCTGAGCCTGCGCGTCCGGAACCTGTGCTCCGCGACGGGAGAGGCCACAACAGTGAGAGGCCCGCGTACCGTAAAAAAAAAAAAAAAAAAAAGAGCAGAACTGCAAATTCATACTTGGACCTCTATACTATGCCTCTGTGGGAAGAGAATGTGTGTCACTGCCAGGGCCTCTGCTGGCCCCAACATGCTTTAGTGCAAATTAGAGAAAGACACCCCGCCACACACACTTCCTGAACCAGGGCTTGTGGCTTCCAGGGCATAAGCCAGAGTTCAGCACACTCCTGTCCTCGTGGCTGAGTACTCTTGTGCAGTGCCCAGCCTGAACGACTGTGTGTGGCAGCCCATGCATTGTGTTCCATAGGTCAACCTCTCAGACGTTCCTATAGGAGGAGATGAAAATGCTTCCCCACAGGGGTTGAATGTAAATGTCCCCAGCACTTCATGGCTGCTCTTTACTGGTACTGGCCACTTGCCAGATTCTGTTCCCTCAGATCACTGTCTCCGGAAAACTCATTCTAAGCAATCATCTGGGACCCATCAGCCTGCACTGAATCAATCTGGTTTTGCCTCACACACACACACACACACACAGGCATAATGACTGATTGCTTAGAATGAGTTCCTCTAGGATTACCTTTTTTTCTCTAAATTAGTTTTTTCTTTAAATTTAACCTTCAGTTTTGAGTCACTTAGTTGCCTGTTGCATCAAATGATTCTTTGGTTTTACAGGTTGCCTCCCAGTGATGCCAGATGGGATCAGTACAGCCCCAGGTGCCAGTTGCTAATGCCTATAAAATACCATCTTCCCCAAAGGAGAATCATTTAAGAGTTCTTTGGACTTCATCTTCAAAAGTAGCCAAAGAATTCAAGTGACAGGTTATCCCAGAAAATCTTTTGCAGTTAGTGAACTTAGGGTATCAGTAAGAATATTCAGAATACCACACACACAGTTTAGGTGATCTTGGTATAGTGGTGGGACAGCAGTGATTATAAAATGAAAGTAAATAACATGTACATGCTCTGTTGGGGGACACTAGAGGGAAACAGGTGTTCAGCCTAGAAAATCATTTCTCAGTGGATTTCCTATGAAGTCAATGTGTCTTGGGTTTAACTTTGAAACAAATTTAAAAATTCAAAAACTGGAAAAAAAAAAAGGAAAATGCTTCCCCCACAAGACTTTCTCATGAGGAAGGAAGAGAGAAAACATAAATATATATATATATATATATATATATATATATTGCCTATAGTGATATAGCACTTTTCAAGTGAGAAGTACACTGGCATATGTGATCTCTCTTAATCCGCAAAACAGCACTGCATGGCTCCAAGGGAGGCATGGTCCCAGCTCCACCCCTCTCACCTGCAAGAAAGCTGAGGCCCCAACAAATGAAACAACTTGCTCATGTAGTCAGAAACAGACACCAGCAGCTCCCAGGTCTCGTAATGCCTGGGAGATATTCCTTCTTCTACCTGTGGTTTTCAATTCTATCTGCTGCCTGTCTGCCTGCATGCCTATCTATCTATCTATCTATCTATCTATCTATCTATCTATCTACCTATCCATCTATCATCTTCCTTCCTTCCCTCCCTCTCTCCCTCCTTCCTTTACAGTAGAATCTCAACTTTTTTTGTTTTCAAGAAAAAAGTTCCCATGGATGAGCAAAGCTGCCTTAGTTGAATTTAGAGAAAGGTGCAAGCCCTACCTTCTCATCTTCCCTCCTTATCCCAGTAGCAGCCCTTGAAGCCCCTCTGAAGGACCGTAAGGGTTTGAAAAATGCACTGTATTAAGCTGTTCCCCTAGTGCACCACATGTTACTCTTGTGGTCTCATGATCCAAAAGCACAAGGATTTTATTTCCTCCATACAAGCTCTCCTTGTTAAGTCTGGTTAACTTACTGACCACACACACACACACACACACACACACACACACACACACACACCATCCATTCCTGCTCTTCCTCCCAGAAGGCACTTCGTCCATAAAAGGAGCCATCCAAACAATCCTCCCTCCTAGCCCAGGCCTTCGGCTCTCTGAAAGGGTTGCCAATTTTGGCTTAGAAATGAATGGAATTCCAGAGTTCAAGATGAGCAGGATGGTGTATGTGAATGATGGCTTCCTCCAGGAGGAGAATTAGAGCTAAAATTCCAGGCCAGTCCAAGAGAAAGCTAGTTCCCATTTTGCTAGCTAGTTTCCCGGGGAAGGAGGCAGAATTATTACCAAACAGCCCTGCCTGCAGCCTGCTCCCAGCCAGGTCGCCCCAGCATTCCCTAAGGGCTGAAGGCAGGCTGCACCCAGGGCAGAGTGAACACACCGTGTGTGCTCACAGCTCTAGGGGAACGTGCTGCTGGATGGGGGCATGGCAGGAAGCCCACAGGTGGTCTCTCCAGGGCAGGTCTCTGCGGCCAGGATCCTCCCAGCCCCATCCTGAGGCTCCGCAACGTGACAACCCCTCCCTGTGTCTCCCGCTCACACCCCTCTTCCTGGGGTAGGAAACAGATCTGAGAAGGGCCACATCCAGAGTCCAGAATGTGTCAGATCCTACATGCCATGATTTCAGCCCCAAATCCAAACCCTATGTTGATGTGAGCACAGTGAAAGGACCATTGACTCCCTTTCCAGCCACCCTTCCACATGAGGAGAGAACACAGGCAGCTCTCTCACCTTTTACATACCAAGAGGACAGGGGATTGGTTTGTGGGGAAAACAGAGAGGGAAAAAGCTAGCCTGGGAGACAACAGCAAACCACAGCTCTTTCCACAGCACAGCTGCTGATTCCTGTTTTTTCATGATGTTTTCTCCTTCATTTTGCCAGAAGATTACAGGAAGATCTCAAAACTTGAGTGCTGAGTTTGAGATTTATTGACAGCAAAATATAATAAAAAAAATCATAATCCCTTGGGCTTCCCTGGTGGCGCAGTGGTTGAGAGTCCGCCTGCCGATGCAGGGGACACGGGTTCGTGCCCCGGTCCGGGAAGATCCCACATGCCGCGGAGCGGCTGGGCCCGTGAGCCATGGTCGCTGAGCCTGCGCGTCCGGAACCTGTGCTCCGCGACGGGAGAGGCCACAACAGTGAGAGGCCCGCGTACCGCAAAAAAAAAAAAAAAAAAATCATAATCCCAACTAAAACCCTGGTTGACTCATGTCAGAGGAAGAAGGAAAGTGCGTTTAGGAATAATAAGCCAAAAATGGATTTCTAACATGTAATTTTTTCAGAAGCTTAACAAAAAGAGGTCCGTGCTCCTTTCAACAGCCTTCTGCACGGAGCGTAGGCAAGAGCTTCGCCCAAAGAGAGAAAAAAAGGGGCCAAGGAGGAAAAGACCCATGTCTGTTTGAACAAGTGGCAAAGGACAGGCACCCTGCAGGGATTAGAGGGTTTAAAATTTTTAAAATAAAAGGAAGAAAGGAAAAACACACAATGTATTGGTTTGGAGAGGAAGTTCCGTCACCAGTTAGAGCAGGTGGGCCGCGAGGAGTGGGCCCGGGCCGCTCACTGCCAGGGGCTGAGAAGAACACAGCAGCGAGCCAGGGAGAGGAAAGCCGGTTTCAGGAGATGGGGGAGGAGGTGCCCCGAGGGTCAGCCAGGTCAGGAACCCAAACCCAGGGCCGGTGGGTGGTGAATGTCAAGAAACAGAAAGTAATGCATGTGAAATCTGGGTACCAGCCAGCCCAGAGAAGCCAAAAAGGGTTTTTCTAAAAGAGACATCCCAGGAACTATTCTTTTAGAATAAGCCATGCTCCCGTGTAGGCTCAGGTGGAGCCGAAGAACGAAGCGGGCAAGAGAATGAGATTCATCCCGGAACGGGGGTGAGAGGGAGAGGGGCCAACTGCACACATGAGGCAACGAAAAAGCAGAAAACAATTTTTGCAGCTGAGGTTTGGGTCAGGTGATCTCTTCGCTCCAAGGAGCAGAGAAGTCTAATTTGCACAAATACCCCTCCAAGGCACCTGAGCAAGTAACAGAAGGTGCTGACCTTAGAAATCACGTTCAGGAAGGAAAGAAAGCAGCGCTGCTGGGGTGGGGATTGGGCCTGGCTGCCTGGTACAGCAAGGTACTTACTTACAAGACACTGGCAAGTAAGAAAACACAACGGGGAGCGGTCACCGGGCTGGAGGCACCAGGCAGTTTACTCACGACATACAAGGAATTCTCTCTGATGGGGTGAGCCCAGGAGGATGGAACCAGCAAAGGGTCCAGACCACGGCTCTGTTCACTTACAATGAACACAGGGCAGCAGGGGTGTTAAGGAATTGGGGGAAATAAAGAAACCAAACCCTGGCTGGGCTGTCTGTCATTGCCAAGAGAAGCTCAGGGAAATGATGAATGACACTTCTATCAGGGATGCTGAGGGGAGGATACCTCTAGCTTTGTGGGCTTTGCACATGCTGTTCCCTTGGTCTGGAATGCCCTTTCCCTGCTTCCCCTGACTCTTACTCTTCAAGCCTCAGCTTAGGCATTTCCTCTTCCAGGAAGCCTTTCGAGGCTTTGCTATTCCTCCCCCTTCCACGCAAACTGGGCGAGGGGCTCCCATGCCACCCAGCGATTACTCCATGCTTGCGCTGACCGTGCTGTTTACTAAACCGGTCCTCTGCTAGCGGTGACTTGTCTGTTGTTCCTATCATATTGACAGGCCCTAGTCCATTACCCAGTGCAGTGCAGGGCTCAATGCAGGCTTGTTGAGAGGATGAATGAATGCGCGAGTAGGAGCTTGGAGCAGGGCGATTCTGGGGCTCCCTGGTTCTAAGTACCCAAGATCCTGGAGTGGACTCCAAACCCTAAGCTCTCCAGGACCCTCCTCATGGGCCACGGAGAGCCACATCCAGCCCAGTCCTGCTCTCCACACCCGGTTCCAAGCCAGAGTGCCTAGTGCTGCAAAGCTCTGTGCTGCGGGCTATGGTGGTGACTGCCTGGGGCTGACAGACTGCTTCCTCTGCCCTGGAGCTAGATCTCAGGATGGAAGCGGGAGGATAGGGTGACTGAAGGTGAGTCTGCTCAGGAGGCAGCCCCTCCGGGAAGCCTGGCAATAAGTCGGGAGAATTCTAGGGCTGGAGCCCCGGGGAGAGGCTTGCTCAGAGCACAACCAACAAGGACAAACCATAACCTTCCAAGGCTATTAGGAGGATTACATAGAAGAATGGGTAAGAAAGTGCTTTGTAAATTGGGATGTGATGTATTGCGGGGAAATGGGTTTGGGATCCGGGTCCTCAGACCAAACTTAGTACCTAACTACTCAGAGCAAAGTGTAGTAAATCAGAGCTGAGGAGTAACTACGGAGACGGGATGCTTCCAAACGCTGTGAAACTAGAGGTGCAGATATCGCTTAGGATGCCCCACACTGGCTCTTCTTTCCTCCCTGGGATGGGCTTTGTTCAACAACCAGAGAGTGTGATGCTGGAAAATATTTCCTTGAACGGAAATGCACGGACTCTCAGTTTCACTGTAGCAGCAAGATATGTACTAATATAAAAAGGCAGAGGTTTAAGAAGAATTGAGCTCCTCCTGACCCTAGAAAGTCCTTACTTTGCTTGGACACTGGCCATCTGTTCCCATCAGGGATCCTGGGGCCAAGGGAGGCTCAACCAAATAAGCCACATTCTGCTGGCCACTTCATTCCTGATAAGCTTTTATACCAAAGTGGGAACTAGGTAACCTCTCCAAGGGTTGGGGAGAATAGCTTTGCCAAAAACACTGCATAAAAAAGAATTAGGCAATTCTAAGCCACTCCATGTTATCTAGCTTCTTCCAACTTTTCTAAAACACAGCAGCCTTTACAGATTCACACAATAACTCCAAGGCCCTCTTTCCCAGCAACCACTGTAGAGCCCACCAGAGAAAGTCACCCATGTGTGCTGGTAAATGTTCAACAGCTAGCTCTTTGGCGGCGAAAAGAAAAAGATCAAAGGTCTTAGTGTTTGCCAATTTCTGTGATGTAAATACTCCCACCTTGGCTGATTTCGAGCTACCAAGGTGAAGTCGCTGAAGGTGAAGTTGGGAAGAGATGTTGATACAAGCTACCCCAGCACCACTGGCTCTAAGACATGCGTTAACACCCAACCTGGCTTCCTCTGGACACAAGCTGGAGATGACCACTTCACACCTACCTCTCTCAAAGGAATTTTTGATGTCATTGACTTCAACCTGGGATCCTGGCACTCTGAAGATCCCTTGCTGCTGGAGTCCTAAAAGAAATAAACAAACAAAAAAAGAAAGAGAAAATGCCTTGAGCTCATCAGGCCACTGGGAACACGGAAGACTCTCCCTACTGCTTGCCTCTTTCTCCCGCCATCCTTTGTAACAGAGTCATTCCCAGTGACCGTCTCCTGGCAGAAGCCCCAAAGAAGCCTTTGCGATGAACTTCAGCTGGTCCAAATACTCAGTCACATTCTGCTTCATATGTCTAGGGTCTCTTGTTTGGGCTTGAAGGAAACAAGAAGTTTATATCAACACTGGACCAGTGAATGACTTCCACTTTAACCCACAGGTCAGCTCAATCAAATAACTGGGTAGTGAATGCTGCCTAGTGCGTTCATCAGTTGCACTGGTCCCAAGTAGCTTGACCTGAGTTTACAAATGCCATCGGAGTTTAACAGCCACAGAGACTCTGAATGAGAATGATTAATGCCACTCCCTCAACCATTCCCTCGCCCATCACAGACAACGTCTTCCTTCAAGAAAATCTAGAGTCTAGAGTGCATGCTGGCTTGGGATCAAGGAGTTTGGGGGACATTAACTTATTGCAGAAGGACGATCTCATTTTCTATGTGTTTCTACAAGGCCTTAACAAAGAGGAGAACTTGATACCTGACACAGCAGTAACAACAAAACAGCGACCTATAAGATTGAAGGAATTAGAGGGCCTCCCTCATCTGAAAAGGGAATTAAGACTGGGATCCTTTCCCTGAGATTCAGTTTTTCTATATGAAACAACTCTCCACTTTATAATTCAGGAAAGTGTTTACCCTTAAAGGCAGGCTTTAGTTAAAGTTTGGTTTGTACATATAGTATGTGCTCAATAAACGTTGTTCATTTCTTTCGTGCTGAATTTCTACCACCTGTGTCTCTTACCCCATCCTCCTGGCTCATTCCCATCCAGTTATGCTGGCCTTCTTTCCCATATTAGGCCTTGACACTTGCCATTCTCTCCACCTGGCTGGCTTCTTCTACTCAAATATCACCCCCTCGGAGATGGCTCTCCTTACAACCTTAGCCAAAGCAGGCCTGCCCTCCTCTAGCCATTCTCTATCCCCTTTAATTAGTTCCTTGGCATTATCACTATCTGAAATTATATTATTTGTCTCTCAGCCTGTTCATTCCCTTGCCCTTCTAATTGGTCATGTAAGCTACCTAGGGCCAGCATCCTACCTGTCTGGTTTGTGGCTATGCTGCCATTGTCAAAAACAGTGCCTGCTATGCACTCTGGAAATATATTTTTGGAGGGATGAATAAATGAACAGATGGAGGCACAATTTAAGTGCTGGGGACACCATGTGGCAAATCCCAGACACTCTATTTCCTCCATGGAGCTTACCACAGTCTAGCAGGATTAACTGATCGGTTGACCAACCTCATTCAGCGCTCAAAGTGCAGAGCTCTGGGCTCGAGTGTGAGCAAAAAAGGAACTAATACAGTTGTCCCACGTGCCCTCCCTGCTCCTCGGTTCTCCTAGCTCCTGGGTCTTCTCACCACCATCTTCAGTTCCCCCGACACACAAGGCTCAATAGACAGCACTCAAGATAGCAGCTGTTCCATAGAACGTTTTCCCCTCAGAAGCAGAGCAGCAACAGGAAATCTTCCCAGACGAATTTGAATCTCATATCTTATGAGAACAGCCTAGCACCTGTTCTGGAAAGAGCTGAAAACACTGCCCTGAGATCGAGCTTACCATATAAATTGATGTATCTGATGCAGCTCTCGACGACCAGTGGTATAGCTTGTCCTGAATCCTTAAGAAAAAAAGTTGTGAGTTGTATTGGACTTGGCAACCACCACAGGAGAGAAGACACTGCAAACACAGATTATGAACTCAAGCCAGAAAATTAGTACCATCAGATTAGTAGGAAAACAAGCAAGGAAACACTAATTCTAAAGTCTCCACAAACAGTTAAAATAGAAAGTCTTCTGTGATTGCAGAAAAGCCATAGCTGTGATCATTTTAAAGAAATGCTCTGTCTTCCTATTCAGCTGGGAAGGAATCAGGGCTCAGGAGGCCTGATAGGCACATCAGGGAAGGGGAGGGAGCCCACTGCCTGGAGGGGCTGGAATCCGCCCTCGAAGACTTCTCTGCCTCCCACTGGCCTCAGCCCCATCTCAACTCTGTTCTCCCAGCGCTCAGGGCAGGATCAAGGCCTCTGCCTAGTACTGTAGGACCTGCTGCCGGAATTAAGAAGGACACACCATGGGGGAAGCAAGGCTGGCCCCAGGGATCCTTTTGAGCTCGGAGGAGGGGTGACCAATTCTACTCACAAGTAACAACCTAAACATCCAGACAGATATTTGTTTAACAGTAAACACATTAAAAGGAAAAGTTCTAGAAACAGCTAACGTCAGCCACTGACCACTGAGTGGCAACCTTAGTCAGAAAGGCTGAATAAGATGCAGTTCTAAATACATGCATCTGGGGTGTGAATGTATTTTCAATTATATTTTCCTAGACTGGCCCACAACCACAGAGAGCTGGGCACGGGATAATTTCCTTTCGGATTCCGTGACTGGTTGACCTCTCTGCTATTTCAGGCCACTTACAGAGCATAAAAATTTTTAAAAACTCTCTTTGCAAAGGGGACAGGTTAAGCACTAGCCTCCTCAGAAGGTGAGGAAGCAATGAGGCATATGTAATATGCTCATGTAAAGGGACAAAGAAAAAAACCATGATTTCGATGCTTTCGTGGGTCCTCCACACCCCACCTGCAAATTCTGTCCTTGATTAAGTACCGTCACGGAGAGGGTAACAAAGTGGACTCATTGGCAACAGGCAAGGTGGGCCCTGTGCTACTAGTCAGGGCTAAAGACAGGTTCCATCCAGTTGAATGGGGCTGACGGACCTTTCCAGTAAATACCTGGTTCCTGGTTCGAGCATTTCTTCTTCCTCTGATAACAAAAAATAAACAGGCAGCAGAGCAGAAGAAAAAGAAAAGATTACGCAGAAGTAATAAGACCAGTTAGAGCAAGCAGCTCCTTCAGAGTCCGGGAACGCCGAAATGCAATGGCAGCCAGCGGAGGTCCGGGGAGACGGCAGGCAAACCGTGGGCCCAGTGGAGCTCCGGACCTGCCCGGCCAGCCTTCCAGGTGGCTGCCTCGGACGCCAGGGGGCAAAGGGGCCTCTTTCAGTCCTTGTCAAAGGGCAGGAACGGTGTGTACTGAACACTTGCCCCACCCCAAGTCTAGCTTCTCCTCAACACAGGGGGCTGTTTACTCACCAATGGTGAGAGCCCACCTAAGACTCTTTAACGTTAGCCCAGCCACCCACAGAAAAGGAGGGACACACGCCCTCAGGTGTCTCCTGTGACACTGGCCCTGCAAGTCAGCTCAGGAAACCTCGCTCTTAGCTCTTAGTTAACCAAGACCGTGTTTATGAGGTGCCCTCTGGATAGGACCAAACAGGATTCCATCTGGTTCCAAATTCCACACCGCTGCCCATGCTTTCCTACCAAACACCTGGGGCAGCTTGTCCCGGGTACCCACTTGGCTTTGCTTTCCTTCTGCCCACGGACCCTCACCCTGGCACTGAAAAAGCCTCAGGGAACGCAAAAGCTGACAAAGCCTGGAGGAGGGAGGGCAGTGGAGTCAGAGAGCTTTCGTGATCTTGCGGGCAGAACCGGAGGCTCTGCTTTCACTGAAGTCGCCCATTTGCAGGCGAGCACGGCCTCTTCTTTCTTCCCACACATGCAGTGGGTCAGGCTCTGGGGTGCGTGCTGTGTCTCATCCCGACTGAGAAACGGGAGCATGTGCGCCTGCTTGCTGGCGTCACCTGTCCAGCCCCTGGCACCTCAGCAACTAGAATTTTCCTATGTCGACTATGCCTCCCTGAACCTAGGACAGCAGTGCCAGGTGATCAGACAGGGCCCCGTGGGCACTCTCCGGAAAGCCCAGGCAGCACTAACAGCTAACATTTCCATGGTGTTTACCCTGCGCCAGGCAAAGCTCTAGAACCCGGCAGGTGTTACTCATCTGATCCTCCTCACACACTCAGGAGGTGGGTAATTATCATTCTCATTTTATTGAAACAAGGTAAGGACTCCCCCTGCCCCAGCCCGAAGGTAGACCTCCTGGGCCTCAAAATTTATCATAATAAATTGGGTTTCCTTCTATCCGAGAGAAGGGGGGAAAAATCAAGCATTTTGAAAAGAATCCATTCAGGTAAGGTCCTAGAGATTTATACAAGTAACTCCAACTACGTTTATCCGGCATTCTTGTGGATGCTTCCTTGTCCCTCTAAACCCTCATAATCACGGAGTTTCTGTGATGTTATTTTATTGAAAAGCCTTTCAGAGCTTTAGAATTTCAGAGCTGGGGATTCTTAGTTCACACTGAATCTTCTTCCAGATAGCATGGGAATCATAAGAGGAAATTAAATTCCATTCCCAAAGGTTGAAGGACTGGATGCATCACACTGCCTTTTCATTTTCTGAGAGTTAACAATCCTTGAGGTTGGGGTCCCGCCGCTGCAGTCTGTCCCCACAGGGAGCTTAGAGTGGGCACGCAGAAGAGCTGGCGGAATTGCACAGATGATGTGCGGTACAAGCACACGTGACTATAAAAAAATGCATTCGCTCAACAAACATACTTTTTTCAGTCAAACGGTCCCCTGAGGAGGCTGTGCTCTTATTTCAGCAACATGCTGTTGCCTAGTGCTCTGGGGTGACCCTCTCTGGGGGCTCTTTTCAGAGCCAGTCCCCTAGCGCCCACTACGGCCTATGCCTCTTGCCATATTGTGGCTCCAGGGGCTACAAAGCCGGGCTCTGATTGGCGCTTTTCATTCCAAAGACTGGGGTGTCCGTTCTCAGACAAAGTTTTGGCACCGCTGACGAAGGTCCTGCTGCAGGCTCTCGGAAGACTGACCAGCTGCAGCAATGGCTATATATTTAGAATAAGGATGTGGCTTCCTGGTGACTACCTCCAAGGGGCAGACAATCCCGCGGTTGGTGCATGGCACTCGATCGTCACGCATTTTTTGTAGGAGCTCTCCATTCAGAGACTGTTTCACTGAACAGAACACCTAACTTGCAAATGCCATTAGGTAAGAGCTCCTTCCAAGCGTCCTGACAGAGCACCTGTTTCCAAAGAGCTGAGCATATTCTGAAAGGTGTCTGTGTCTCTGAGCCTTTGCTCATTCTGTTCCTCCTCTCAGGGGCTCCTCCGTCCTCCCCTCTGCTGTGTTCCGCCCCATCCTTCAAAGCCGCCCGGACCCCACTGCTCACAGTTCTTCCTGCTCTGAGCCCTCACAGAAATTATTTCCGTGGGGAATCAGTCACCAAGTGCTCATCCTTAATCATCTTCCGCGTTCAGCCTTCTGTCAAAAACCTCCTGAGCAACATGATAAGCTCCTTGAGGGCAGAGAGAGTAGCAAATGGGCCTCAGTCCCCTCTCAGCTCTGGAGTATGGCTTTTTCGAGAAGAAAGTCTTGTTGGAGCGAGGAGGGAGGATGAAGAAAGGGCTCTTGAGACAGCCCCTCTTCCCATGACCTTCTGGATGGCAAACTGCTCACTCGGAGTCACCTCCAAACAGCACCCCTTCCCTGATGCACGCAGTAGCACCCCTCATTTTGGGGTCCTCCACACCTCCCTCCTCTGAGGCATCCTAGAGCAGCTGCTGCTGTTTCCCACCCCCGGGCAGTGCCAACGTGTGCCCTCCTTTTCCCCTTTCCCTTCCCCCACTGTCCCCCAGAACTCAGCTTACAGACAGAGGGACCCAGGCTGGTCCTGCCTACCCCCTCCCACGCCTGAGGCCAACCCTCCCTGCCCAGCAAGTCCTGTGCATGCCCTATATGAGGACAGAGGATAGAGAGCCAGAGCAGGGGCAGCCTCAGCACTCCAAAAGTGTCGGCAGGGCCCGAGAACCTTTACTTTTCTCCTGATTCTTATTTTCTGCAAACGGTCTTCGTTAGATGGGGCACGCTTCCAATAACTGTCAGGGACCTTCTGCTGTTCCCCTAAGTAATGTTCAGAATGCATCTCCCCTTCCTCAAGTATGTCCCCCACGTGCTGCCCTTTTCAACTCCACCACCATCTTAACTTGCCTTGAGCTGTTCTATCTGGGATGGCTTGATCCTGCACCCTTTGCAGCCAAGAAGTAAGAAGAGAAACTCACTGAGGTGAAAAGCTTTTTTTTTAGTTTAAGGTGTAAAGGATTAACCTGGAATTCTAAAGGGACTACCTCAGCTCTTTTCTCTTCTCCCAAACTGCCTAACAAGAAACAAAATTAGGTGGAAGGGTTGTCTCTCGTACAAATTGTATGTGTTGCGTTCCTTTGCTGGTATATTCTCAACTTTAAAAAATCACTTGTATAAAAACACAGTTACTCACAGGGCTTTTCTTTGTATTGTTTCCAACCTGTCCCCTCTTGGGAGATGTGAGTGTGACTCAAGGCGAGGGGGTTTCTCTAAGTGTCCCTCAGGCTGGTCAGGACTGCAGTTCCTGAAGCAGTGAAGTGGGGCTGACAGGGACCACTGTCTGGCACGGATTCAGCGCCACCTGGATTTTACTGGGTCCCAGCGTGATTGCAACCCTCCCCCAGGGTTGAGAATCAAGGGAAAGTACTTAGGAGCGACTGGTCAGAGGCAAGAGCAGCTCTGATTAGAAGCCCTCACTGAAGCTAAGAGCAGGCTGCCGGGAGGACCAGCTTGCCACAAGGCCTGGCCGAGGGCCCGGATTGAAAGTTCCAGTCCGTCAGTCGTTGGTAGGTCGGTAGGTTGGGGCAGGGCTGTTGGCCGGGGGAGGAGGTGGAGAAAGGCTGCCATTACATTGGGTGCATTCGCGGACTCCGTGGCTCCCCAGCAAGTACCTTAATGAACGCTTCCATACAGCCGTTAAATAGTTTATGGCTACACACTGAGAGAGGCCTAGGTCTCCTCATTTTCTGTGGTTTAGGGGGAAGACAGGGGGGCCTAGGGGAAAACGGAACAAAAGAAATCAAGAAAGCAAACAAGGTAAACATACAACTGGGAAAGACGCTCTTACGACCCACGACTGCAGGAGAACACAAAATGCAAATGGAAGGCCTGAACCCCCAGCGCATTGGTGTCCAATGCTCCATCTGAAGGCCTCTGGATGTTTAAGCAGGTCTTAATTTACCCACGGTGTCAGGCAGGAGTAACACAAATGTATTCTAAATCACAGAAGGGCACAGCACGTGTCCAGGAAACCATTGAAACTCCAATCAGGGCTGTCATCCCGCAAAGCTGACCAGATGGAGGGGGAATCAGGGGAGAGATGTAATCTGTAGCCCAAGAAAGCAAGAGACTTTCAAAGATGATCGGAAGGGTTAATTTTCATCATGTTGGCTTAAATGCATCACCAAGTCTCAACTCCCACCATACCAGGGCACTGATCTTCCTAATGCCTCCTTGCATTTCAAACGCACTTGACTAATCTATAATCCATTGATCTAAGAGCCAGGCAATTATTATTCTTATTTTAGAGATGAAGAAATTGATGCCAGGAGGGAGGCTGCAGCTTCTTTGGGGTCCCCAGGGGACCCAGGATGATGATTATCTCCTGTCCTTTAGTCAAGTACACTTTCAGTTACAATGTTTTCAAATCCATTATCACACTTAATGTCAGCTCAACCCTGCACGTATGGTCCCATTTTACAGAGGCCTAAACTGAGGCCTAGAGGGGGGAGGTGGCAGAGCTAGGCCGCAAACCCAGGCCTCTTTGGCTCCAATCCCAAGATTTTTACCAAAGGGTCTGTCATGGAGCCTTAGGGAACTTTCTCATTTCCAGCCAAAGACTCATCCATCCCATTAACCCTTGCCAGCGGAGGACCCGTGGGGTCAGGTTGAAAGTGTCTTGCTTGACTTTAGGATCTCCATTCCCTGCGCTCCATCTCGGCCACAGGGAGGGGCGATCATACCACAGTTCACCAGCGACAGCGAAACAGCCACAAACACTGGACCAGTTTCCAGAGTTGCTCACATGCATATACCTGTGTTGGCTTATTTGCTCATCTTTCACCACCCAAGTTGGCCTGACTCAATGCTGCCAGCCTTCTAGGGCAAAGGGCTTTCTGAGGTTAGGAGGAGAGTCCCTAACCAAGAGACACAGTTCATTTTCAACTGGCTTCGTTCATAATTTGAGAGGTACCAAGTGGGGACCAAGCCTGACACAGATAATGTCCATGCGTGATGAACACAGACCTGGGCCCACAAGCCTTGACTGATTTCTGTGAATGGGCAAGAAATCGTATGTGCCGTGGAGCCAGTCAAGGAGATAAGACTCATGCTGCCTTGCTCACTGGCCTCGTGGTGCCTGTCTCCCTCAGCAGGCCCGCCATCTAGGGAACTCAGATCAACATCTAGGTGTCTGAATACTGAGCAAATGCTGCTAGCTCCAGGACATGCATGGGCAAAGACACAGTGGAATCCAAATCTCATGCCACCCAAACACTGGAACTAAAATAACAGCACAGACCAAAATTTTGCAAAGAAACAACAGGCAAGAGTATTTTGAGCTCATCTCGGATCTACGTCAATTTGGTTAGCTAAGTCCATGTCATTTCTTTTTCATAAGTTACTTATTTTTTGAGGATGTGGGTTATGTGAGAGTGATATTTCTTACAACAGATCTGCTTTTGAATTTCCAAATGCCAAAAGAGAGTGCCAAAAATGTGACAGGGCCATAGGTTTTACGTATCATAACTGGAGGGTAGCAGCTGCACCACCTTGTTTCCATGGTGATTTGGGTTTCTGTTTTTGGACGTTCTCACATCATTTCCTTATCTCACACTGCATGATACCCTCACGACAACCCTGTGAGATAGGCAAGAACTATTAAACCTACTTTAAACATAAGGTAAACGAGCCCAGGAGAGATTAAGAAACTTGCCCAAGGTCATAGGAATAGAATTCAGCTCTTCCTATTTCAGGTTCCGGTGTGATTATGGAAATTGGGAAATTGATTTTATCACAGAACATTCAGCAATAGCTTTAAATCATCTATTAAACTCTCATGGTCAGCAAGAGTACAGACTCTTAATGCAGGTGTTGGACACCCAATACCAAAAATATCTAGGGTGCCTTTAAAATTTATTTCCTAAAATAAGTCCTAAGGATTCTTTTTTCCTTGAAGTTACATAATTTCTGCCCAATCCAGAAAGCAAAGGACTGTTAGAACCGCATCAGGATTTCTTTCTTTTGTGTGGTGCTCTGTGCAGTGAGCGGAATCTCTGACAAGGAAACGTAGCTATCCCAACTTTGCATGACACCAAATTGATACCGACTTACTGAAGTGCTGGGTGGGGCACAAAGTGGGGAGCAGGGGGGCAGCTCAGCCAAGGAAAGTGGGGCAGCCTAAGCCTTCCATCTCTTCTGCTGCTCAGTTGCAGAGCAAAAGGAAAGAGAGAGAGAGAGAGAGAGAGGGAGGGAGGCAGGGAAAACAGGAACAGAGAAAGCCACGGAGAGGAAGAAAGAGAAACCAGAGACCAATGTCCCCTTTCTGCCTTTCAACCAAGATAAAAATTAACACGCATTAGTAACATAGGAATTGGCCTCAAAATTATTCTGTGACCAGAAGGATGGTTATTTCCCTAGACAACCCAACAGATGTGGGTGTCAACATCCAAAATGACAGCAATATTGTAGTTCAATGGTGGTCAGGCTCTTGGAAGCTGTGCATGGGTGTGCATGGGGTTGCATCTGTTTGGACAAGAAATCTCGAGTGATTTCACTGCTAATCCAGACTTGGAGCGAGTCAGCCTAGGTTAGGGAAGCCAGTCAATGGTTTGAAAAACCATATCAAACCTTACATTTGCATCTGGCTTTGCCATTTACCATATGTCTTTCAAGCGCATTATTGCATCTGGTCAGCCTAATTACAGGGTTATTATGAATTGGGGCTATTCTAAGATAACGTTCTAAAGTATGAGAAAAAAATATACAATGTGTTGCAGCCCACGTGCAAAACTTGGTCTGTCTATACAAGGCCAGCAACAACTTGGCTGAGGGGACCTGCTCAAATAATCACCCAAAACAACACTGACCTTGGACAGGAAACTATGGCAGATAAAGAGGGCCACAGTATAGAAATAGCTCATCCAGGACATTTAAGATAAATTTAAAATATACTTCCAAGTTAGCAGTGCACTCCACAATAAGTTAAAAATGATTTTTGGAAGTAAGAGGAAGCTTTTACTTTACTAAGAGTTGCCTTTGACCTTGGCCAAGGGCCAAAGTGCAGATGGCTGGATTTGCAGCTTAGTGCAGTGTATCTAAGTGGGAGGTCTGTAATCCTAGCTTGGATTTCCCAGGCCCTAGGTCAAAGAGGGTGTGGAAGACAGCATCTCAGAGGGCTTTATTTAAAAAAAAAACAGAAAAACAAAAAAACCTCTCAACATTTCTCTAAGGAAGACCCTGGGACCTCGCTAAGGGTTTGATTACAGATCTCTCCTACAATCTGCTGGAATCATCTTCTCCCACATGAGTTTTAGGAATTAGGAGGAAGTGAGGGATGGCTCAATTCATCCCCCCATCTGTTTCATTATTTGCAAACTTTGGTGTAAAATGTGGCTTCTGTTGTTTTGGTACTATGACAACACTCTTGCAATAAGTAAGTAAATAAATAAATAGGAGTTTGTTTCTAAAAGGTTCTTAGAAAGTAACCCTGCACATCTGCTGACCCATGTGCTGGGAGGGCCTCGCCTGGTATCATGAATCTTCCCAATGTCCGGGGACTGCCGGGGCCTAGAGGAACAGCTGCACAGGCTAAGCTTCTGGAGAGCCCTCAGTCTTCCCCCACCCTGGGCCAGCAAACTGAAAACCTCAGAGCTTTCCAAGCCTTTTCCCAGCCAACTCCCTTCCAGATGAGGCGGGAGTTAAGGGTTCATCCTCCCTCTTGCCAAGTAGGACAGCTTTCCAGGATTCTGGGCCACTGGGAAGAACTTGTGGGAAAAGGATGTCTTTGGGTCACTGGGCCCAGAATGAGGCAGAAGTAGCTCTCAACGGCCACGTGATGGAAAAGCGCAGGCCTCTGGGCCACCAGCTCAATTCAACTTGGGCAGTGGGACGGGCATTGCTGGGAACACGGAAATGGATGGGCTCTAAGGAACCCGGGCAGCGATAGGGCTGCTTATGGACCTAAACTCTCCACAGGTAGAGGAAAGGTCCAGTCCTGAAGCCAGCCTCTCAGCTATCAGCTGCTGAGTGAAAGTGTTCACTGGTTCTGGTCTGCTCAGGGAAAAGCCCAGAGGATAATGTTGAGCGAGCTGGAGAGAAAGCAGAAGCTGCCCACTATTACTTCCCCCACCAGGGGCTCTGCCATCAGGCCATCCCAGTGCTGCGAGGTCCGAAGCCAGGGCAGGCAGCAGCGGGTGTCTGCGCCCGCTCGTGTGGATATGCGCATGCGTATGCCCGGTGGTGTGCGTTTCCAGCCAAACCCGGAGCCTTGGCAAACTGGGACCCCGGGCTGGGCCCCACGCCTCGGCGGTTTGCTCAGCAGCCATAGAACGGATGGGGAGACAGGTGGGCATCTACCCCACAGCCTCTGGCTTCTCCTGGTTGCCCTCAGCCACTCTGCAATATATATTACCTTCCCGTCCTCCCACCAGATGGATAGCAACAAGGGACGACACCCACTTCCCACAGCAGCTCTGAAAGGCTCCCTCCCCATCACCAGTCTAATGCTGGAACCAGCAGAGCAGCCAAAAGACCTTTGCCTTCCCTCTCAGCACAACCACACCCCCGTGGGGACACTGGCGAGGCGCTGTCCCCTCTAAGACTCCTCTGCTGCCCTGAGCTCCAGCACTGTCTCCCCACCTCCCCGTCTGTCCTGCTCCCCCCACCTCCTCCCACTGCCCACTCAGGCAGCAGGTGAAGGAAACAAGATGCACCGCTCTTACCTGGTTGTACCGCATTCTGCTCTCTCCCCTGGAAAGAAAAGTGTACATTGATTTAATTGTTGGTTTTGTTTTCGTTTTTGTTGGTTTATTTTTGAGCAGAGAACATTCATCTTTTTCTAAAAACAAGAAACAACTAACACCTTAATTATTTGTGAAATGGGAAATGTTATTATGCCTAAGGTGTGTTCTGTTGCGAAGAACTGAGTCTTATTAAATCCTCAGTGCCTCCTATTTGTAGGGCCATGTTCACATATTTTTCATTTGTTATTGTTCCTACACATTTGATTTTCAACTACAACCTGCTGACCAGTGGCATCAGAATCTTCTGGAACTCTTGTCAAAAATACAGATTTTTTTGGCTCTTTCCTGGATAAGGACCCAGGAATCTGCATTTTGACAGCACTCCCAGTACTCTCTTCTATGCATACCCCAGCTGGAGAGCCCACGCACTGCTTTATGTCCACAAAGGTTTACTGAGCACCTGTCATGCCCGGCACTGAAGGGTATCAGCCATAAGACACCTTCTGTTGTCACTCAACCCCGCCAAGTGCCCACCCCCAGCCCTCCTGCCTTCATCCTCAGCTGAAGACCTTCTCGCTTCCTTCACTGGAAAACAAAATCAATAAGACAGGGTCTCTGGGTACCACCATGAGACCTACCCACCTACCTGCGCCTGCCCACTCCCCCGCTACCTCCTTTCCTGGTGCTCTGGAGGAAGCATCCTGCTTCTGCTAAAACCCAGACCCCATGCTGCAGGTCCCATGCCCTCGGTCCTTTTCAGGGGCTTTGCTTCTGCAAGTTCTCCCCTCTCTCTAGCATCGCCAGTCTCCTCTCTCTGGATCATTTCCATCAGCGTATCAACACGTACACTGGATACATCCAACCTGCCTTTTAAGCCTCCCCTTGATCCCATTTCTCCTCTAACTCAATCTCCATTTCTCAGCTCTCCTTTCCAGCAAAACTTCCTGAAGGAGCTCTGTTTGGGGTCCCTGTCGCTTCCTCCTCTTGCCTTACCGCAGCTGGCTTTTGTCCTCACCACTCCACGGAGACTGCTCTGTGCGGCTGAACCTAATGTCTCCTCTGCTCTTACCTGACTGCTCAGCACTGCCTACCTCAGTTAATCACTCCCTTCTTCTTATAAAGCTTTTTCCTCTTGATTTTCATGACTCTGTACACTTTCCAGGTGTCCTTCCTGCCCTACAGGCTGTTCCTCAGTTTCTCTTGTTGTCTCCTCATCTGTCCAAACTCTAACCTCTAAATATTGGAATGCCCCCAGGATGCAAACTGGGTCTCCTCCACCCTCTCTAGGTGATCTCAAATGCTTGCTGAGACTTCCTAACTTTATCTCCAGATCTTACATCTCCCTGGAATTCCAGTCTCATATCCACTGCCCTCTTTTTAAATTATTGAGGTATAATTTACATATCATAAAATTCACACATTTAAAATGTATAATTCAGTGATTTTTAGTAAATATTCAAAGCTGTGCAACCATCACAACTCAATTTTAGAACATTTCCATCACACTGAAAAGATCCCTTGTGCCGATTTATAGTCACTCCCTCTTCCCATCTCCAGCCTATGGCAACCACTCATCCACACTCTCTTTCTGTAGATTCGCTTATTCTGGATATTTCATAAAAATAGAATCATACGATATGTGGTCTTTTGCATTTGGCTTCTTTCACTGAGCATAATGCTTTTGAGGTTCATCCACAGCATGATTCAGTACTTCATTATTTTTATGGTGCAGTAGAGAACCTCTAAGCCGGTGCTGTCCCATGGAAATATAATGCAAGCCACAATTTCTAGTAGCCACATATAAAAACTAAAGAGAAACATGAAAGATTAATTTTAATGATACATTGTATTTAATCTAATATATCAAAAATATTATTTCAATATGTATCAATATAAAAATTAATAAGATATATATATTACTAACTCTTTGAAATCTGGTGCTCGTTTTACACATCTCCATTCAGACTAGCCACGATTCAAGTGTTCGACAGCCTCATGTGGCTTGTGGCCACCATATTGGACAGAACAGCTCCAGACCCTAGAATCCCATCTAGCATTCACACGAAGGGACTTTATTCAAACAAAAAGAACTGAGCATTTATATTTCTCTATTGTTTCAGAAAGCAATGCTGAATGGGGAGAAAAATGAGGGGAGGAAGAGAGTTAGAGAAGTCTGAGAATAAAACTTGGAGCGAATCAGCACACAATTCCTTAATTCCTGACCAAAGCCACAAGCAGTTACAAGAGTGACTGCAACCGGCTGAACAGAAGCCAAAGGAGGAAAGGAGAAAAGTTGGGTAAAACAGGAAAATTTGCTCTGCTTAATTTGATTGTGTGCCTGGGGTCTGGGGCAAATTCCTACCAGACATCAACTTGAGTTAAATTTTCACCTAGATCTAAGACCCTGAGTTGAAGCTGACGGCAGCCCACTCATGAAAGCGTCAGCCAGTGGCCTGGGTTGACTATAAAGCACATCATTTCCCTTAGAGCTGTAGTCAGCTGTGCAACTCTGGCTGACAAAGGGGACCTAGGAAGAGGTTCCAGCTCTACCTCCTCTTAGTTCCAGAATTGCCCACTCCCCTACATACTCACTGTGGTCCAGGCACAGTGCCCTTCTTTTATTCCTACCTCACCACATCCCTTCCTGCCTTCACACAGGCTGTTCCCTCTGCCCCAACACTCTCTCCTCAGTTTTTCACACGGCTGACGCCTTCCCATCCTTCAGTCTCAGCTTAAACATCACCTCCCCTCGGAGGTCTCTCTGATCACCCAACCTAAAGCAGGTGCCCCAATGCTCCCCAACCCCGTACACAACTATTCTCTATCTCAGCCCCAATTTTCTATTCGAGGACACTCACAGTTATAATTCTTTACTTAATGGTTTGTTTCCTGTTTGAGGTCTCTCTTCCCCACGAGGGCAGGAACCTTGTTCGTCTTGTATATACTGTGTCCCCATGGATGGATGGACAGATGAATGGATGGCCGGCGGGGAAGAAAGGGGTAGGTCGGAATCAAAGGATCTGAGTCCTGGAGTAAAATGTGTCAGAACACACTCAAGACAGACCTTCCTCTGGCAACGAATCGAATTTATTCTCCGTCAGCTTTGACTCACATTCCAGACCTCAAGAACCTCTTTACCAGAAACATCTTTTGGAATATGGTGTTTCAACTTCAAACAAACAACAGAAATTAAAAATGTTCTGCCCTTTACCACCTGAGATCTCTTCAGGTTTTAAAAATATATTTTATACTTGGTGGCTCAGTCATTTTCTAGAAGGTCAGACTGTCTGGTCCCGGTGGACATTTTGCTCTGTAATGGGCTATTAAACCTTGGCCTGAAAAGGTTATGTCTCATCCCTTTTATAGACAATGCACCATTCACCCCAGAGGGGCTATAGAGTAAATTGAAAACCCACCCATATCTTAACTGTAAAGCCTGGAGCTTACTGACTAACCAGGGCAATAAAGAGCTCAGAAATCTAAGACTCAGAGATGATAAACTAAGAATCCTCTGGCCAATAAAACGACATAGCAACAGCCAAGGGCACATAAGGGTGTGTGCTCTTGTTCCCAAGATGTGGCAGTGACATTTGTAACAAGGAATGACAATTTGCAGGGCACCTAGAAGCATTTTGACTTGTGTGCCATGTTCAAACATTCGCTTCTAAGTGAGGGTGACCCAAAAGACCTAGTTTCCTCCAACTTGTGGTTTCTTTGAGGCGTGCTGTCAAAAGAGTACTGGAGAGAAACTGAGGCACTAGACATGATATTTCATTTCATTAAAAAAAAAAGCTTTGTATCTTTTTAGTAAAAATATTCCACTTGGCCCCATATTTCTCACCTGTTTTCAAAATGACCAGCTTATCCCCCCAATATAAAATAGCTCTCAGATGACCTAAAAAGGCCATTGAGGCAGGTGTCACCCTACCCTAGCCCCACTCTTAGAAGAGCTTTCTACTGAATGGAAGAGTTAACATGTCCAGGTGGAGGGGAATCATCTGAAGATGCTCAGAAGAGTGAATTAGAAGATTCTGAGCATTCTTTGGCCCGCTCAATTTTTTCATGCCCCAACTTTGCCCAACGGGCAAGTTCTTTATCAAACTAAGTCAGCGCAAATTCTCCCCTTTCCCCTAATGCCCTTAGAATCCACATATACCTTTATTGTGCAGGGGAGACACAAAAATGACTGAAGATTTGGTTTCAGCTTCAGTAATTCAGTAATTTACTAACTTCAGTTAATAATAATGTATCAATATTCATTAATTGTGACAAATATACCATATTCGTGTAAAATGAAGATGTTAATAATAGGGGAAATTGGATGTGGAGTATATGGGAACTGTACTACCTTATCTTTGCAACTTTTCTATAAATATAAAACTATTCTAAAACAAAAAGTTTATTAAAATTTAAATAACTATGGAGAACACTACGGAGGTTCCTTAAAAAAACTACAAATAGAACTACCATATGACCCAGCAATCCCACTACTGGGCATATACCCTGAGAAAACCATAATTCAAAAAGAGTCATGTACCATAATGTTCATTGCAGCTCTATTTACAGTAGCCAAGACATGGAAGCAACCTACGTGTCCATCGAGAGATGAGTGGATAAAGAAGATGTGGCACATATATACAATGGAATATTACTGAGCCATAAAAAGAAACGAAATTGAGTTATTTGTAGTGAGGTGGATGGACCTAGAGTCTGTCACACAGAGTGAAGTAAGTCAGAAGGAGAGAAACAAATACCGTATGCTGACACACATATATGGAATCTAAAAAAAAGATGGTTCTGATGAACCTAGGGGCAGAACAGCAATAAAGACAAAGACGTAGAGAATGGACTTAAGGATACGGGGAGGGGGAAGGGTGAGCTGGGATGAAGTGAGAGGGTGGCATGGACATATATACACTACCAAATGTAAAATAGATAGCTAGTGGGAAGCAGCCGCCTGGCACAGGGAGATCAGCTCGGCGCTCTGTGACCACCTAGAGGGGTGAGATAAGGAGGGTGGGAGGGAGATACAAGAGGGAGGGGATATGGGGATATACGTATGCATATAGCTGATTCACTTTGTTATACAGTAGAAACTAACACAACCAATTATACTCCAATAAAGATGTAAAAAAGAGGGAAAAAAACTTCTCCAGAATTGACCAGTCTAACAAGACCCATCCCAGTTATCAAAAGCAGCACAGTGGGCTTTCCTCACTGCTGGCTTATGAGAAAACAGGACTGTGGAAATTCTTCTAGATGGCTCTCTCTTAGCCTCCATTATACTTCTGAAGTTGCATTTTCAGTTTTTTGCTGCTCTTCAGCTCAAAAGTCAGATGAAGGACTCATAAATCACATCTCAAAGCAAGGCGCAGCTGAAGGCTAAATAAACTTGGAAGACCAAATGGATCACGAGTTACGCCAACCAAAACTAATTATTATTATTATTTCATTAAGGCCATTCAGGCAAGGGCAGGAATAAAAGCATGTGAGAGCACTCACGGAGGAGCTGGAGAGAAGCACTTCCTCATCTGGGATCTTATTTTATAAAGGAACATCTTGTTTTCTAAATCCAGGGTATCTGATTTCGAAAGTACAAGTAGCCAGCAACTCACATGGACCCACCTTTTGCTACAACTCATGAGCAGCAGCCCCCAGTCCCATGACCATAAAAACTGATTCTGTGAGCCGTGGAAGCTGCCCCCGTCACACACACACCCAAGCTCCTCTCGAGGACTTTCTGTCTCTCCCCTTTCCCTCTATTCTTGCTGTTCTTGTTCCTCCGTGTTACCCACACTCCTCCATGGCCCCACTCGCCTGGTCCAATACTGAAATGTCAGGATGGGCAGAATGTAGAGGGGTGGGACAGGGGAAATGAAAAAAAGCTCATTGCAACTCCTTCTCCCCCACTCTTCCTCTCCATCAATGAGTTTTGACAAATGTAAACACCCATGTCTAACTACCACCCAAAGCAGGATATAGAACATTCCCATCACCTCCAAGAGCTCCCAAGCTCTCACCAGCTAGAACACAAAAAACTAGTCTATGGCAATAGAAATCAGATCAGTGGTGCCTTGAGGTGGAGGATGGGGGCAGCTGAATGCAAAGAGGCACAAGCAAACTTCCGGGTGGTGGTGACAGGTGGATGTATGTGTTTGTCAAAACTGATTTCTACACATAAAATGGGTGCATTTTATGGTATATCCATTATATGTCAACAAAGTTGATTGAAAAAATTCCATTGGTATTAGTTTTAAAGTCCTGGCTATTCCTTCAAGCCCTAGTTATTCATCTTCCTTGAAGCCTTTCCAGCTCTCCTGGGCCCACAGCGAAACCTCCCTCTCTGGACTCACAACCCTCAGAGTCTGTACTGTTCGCCTGGCAATTCAGTCAGTATTTCTGTGTGATAGTGTTATCGTTATTTAATTTTTTATGAATTCATGTGTTGTCTCCCAGAGAGAATGTTAAGTGCCTTGGGGTTGGGAAATGGTTTCATTTTTCACCAGTTCTTCTAAAGCATGGGGCTCACAAATGCCAAGCACCTGCAGAGCCTGGCAGCCCCCTTGATAGCTGCTGAGTGGACAGGAATTAGGGACTTGTGTGGCTGGGACACAGCCACTAGAATGTGCACCCACAGGGAGAAGAGAGCGAGCCAGGGAAGGCAAGGACGTGTTGCGGACAGCGAACTCCCACCGGCAGTGACCACCAGCCCCACAGCCCAGCACAACTCTCGTCCTGTCACACTCCTTCCCCAGAACACTCCTGGGAGCTCTCTAGGCTGCTTCAAGCTGTCATCTCGGGATCTACTGGCATCATCATCTTAGAAATTCCCTTCATCTCTCTTGTACTGCCCCCTGTTTCCCAGACCCCATGTTTTCTTTCCTTTCAGTGGAGCACCTACTTCAGCCAACAGCCCTCTCTAAACAGAACACAAGACTATCTCTGAGGTTGCCCAGTAGCTTCAGAAGCCCCAGGTCAGCTCCTCCCCTCAAAGCTGAGCATCATACCCGGCTCCAGGGCCGCCAGGACTTGCTGTAAACCATCTGTGAACTAAAAATGCCGCCTGCCATATCAGTAAACAAGGAATGTTGCAGGCATCAGCCACTACAGCCACTCCCAACGGAGAGCCCTGAGGGAACTTGGGATGGAAACATAATGCCCAGGGACTTCCCTGGTGAGCCAGTGGTTGAGAATCTACTTTCCAATGCAGGGGACAGATTCAGCCCCCGGTTGGGGAAATAAGATCCCACAGGGCAACTAAGCCACAGTGCTGCAACTACTGAGCCTGTGCACGCTCTAGAGCCCACGTGCCACAACTAGAGAGAAGCCCGCGTGCCGCAACAAAGACCCTGCGTGCCGCAGCTAAGACCCGAAGTAGCCTAAATAAATAAATAAAACATAATGCCTACCAGTGAATCATCAGATACTGCAGCCACCCGCCACCTGCCCACCCCCCTCAACAAACGGTGCACCCTGAGGAAACTCAGTATGAGAAAAGACAGGATACTGGCTCCAGAGAGCTGAGGTGCGTATCAAAGGAATGATTGCACTGAGCCCAGACTCTTGCATCTTCCCATATATAGAAAAGTGCCAAATTCCTTAACGTGAGATGTCTGGTTTTCTTTTATTAACAGCAATCTTTAGATGTTCTGACTACCTGGTCTTTGTTGCAAAAACTCCTATATATCCTGGCTCCCCACCTTGCCTCTTTGGAACAGTATCTCAGAGTTATCTGAGATGCTGTGTCCTGGGCTTAAGTCCTCAATTTTGTCCACTGAATAAAATATAACTCTCAGCTCTTAGGGTGTGCATTTTTGTTTTCAGTTGACACATCCTTGACCTTGGATGGTTTCTAGTTCATGTTCTGGTGACCTTTCCATTCAACATTCATTCAGTGGCTACTGAGTGCCTGATATGAGCCAGGCACTGTTCTAGACACTAGATAAAGTGGTGGACAAAATAAGCAAGGAAGTCCCTACTCTGGTTGAAGATATGATGCTCTTGGGGGTGCGGGTGTGACCAACGACAATAAGCAGATGAACAAATAGTATATAGGAGGATTTCACATGGTGATGAGTGAGATGAGGAAAATCAAACAGAAAGAGTGTTGGGACAGAGGTGGTGATTCCTTGAGGTTGGGTGTCAGAAGGGTCTCAGGAGGAAGTGACATCTGTGCTGACAGCTGAAGGATAGGGAGCCATCCACACAGAGACATGGGGTAAGGGCATTCCAGGCAGTGGGAACAGCAGATGCAAAGGCCCTGAGGCAGGAATAAGTTGGATGAGCTTTTTTTTTTTTTAACATCTTTATTGGAGTATAATTGCTTTACAATGGTGTGTTAGTTTCTGCTTTATAACAAAGTGAATCAGCTATACATATACAAATATCCCCATATCTCCTCCCTCTTGCGTCTCCCTCCCTCCCACCCTCCCTATCCCACCGCTCTAGGTGGTCTCAAAGCACCAAGCTGATCTCCCTGTGCTATGCCGCTGCTTCCCACTAGCTATCTATTTTACATTTGGTAGTGTATATATGTTCATGCCACTCTCTCACTTTGTCCCAGCTTACCCTTCCCCCTCCCCGTGTTCTCAAGTCCATTCTCTAGTAGGTCTGCGTCTTTATTCCTGTCTTGTCCCCAGGTTCTTCATGACCATTTTTTTTTTTTTTAGATTCCATATATATGTGTTAGCATACGGTATTTGTTTTTCTCTTTCTGACTTACTTCACTCTGTATGACAGACTCTAGGTCCATCCACCTCACTACAAACAACTCAATTTCGTTTCTTAGATGAGCTTGATGTGCAGAAAGGAGCTCAGTGCCACTGGAGAACAGTAGGGAAGTGGAGGATGGGTAGATGAGGTCAGGGAGGCAGGCAGAGGTCAAGTGATCTTGGGCCTCGTGTGCCATGGGAGCAGTTGGGATTTTATCCCACCCATCGTTGGAAGCCTTTGGGGAGCTTTAAGTCTAGTCCCCAGGTCTCCCAAGGACCAAACTCTGCTTTACATGTATGTATTTTTCTTCTTGAACCTAGAATCCTGGCCAGGCACTCCAGTAGTATTCCTGGCAAACAGAATCTACTAAAAAGCAACAGTGCAGATGCCTGTTCCCTGAATCCCACCCCCTACCTATTGGGGACCCTCACCACTTTATCTGGGACCCTCCTCCACAACCCAAACTAAGACTTGTGCTTGCCCCATAGTTTCTGCAGTCAGACTAGACCCCCTCAGCATCTGTACCAGAGCTATTTTCCCAGATTGCTCATCCCGGTAGGTGGCTCCAGGACCAGGCCTCATTCCACCAAGTGCCCAGGATCTCCATGTGAAACAGCTCAAGGGGCCACAACACAACCCAGCGGGAAGACAGCCCCCCTTGCCAGCCTCTGCCACCTGACTCACCTTCGCCCAGAGTCTGCTTGAGTAAGTCATGCTTGGCCTGTAGCTTAGTGATGAGGTTACTGCCGTTCACATATTCTTTAAATTTCTGTAAGACACAAGGCACAAGGACATTACAGATCGCAGGGCCAAGTCCTGCCATTTCTGCTTCCATAATGGACCTCCAGGGCGGGAGGCCACCCTCAAGGCCCCAGGCACGGGGAAAGGGGTTTCTGCGTCGGCTCCATCAGATCCCCAGCTCTGCCAAGCGTGGCTGTCCAGTCCTATGAGGCATTTCAGTTCAGTTTGGGAACACAGAGAAAGCTCGGGGGATGTGCGCCGTGAAAGGTGCTTCTGTCAGGTGAGGACTGCAGGAGCCCGGGCAGTGGGCTTCTTTAGCCATCAAAGTTCCTCCATGCTTCTGGGCCAAGAGCATGCAGCCGAGACAAGAGAGCATTATCAGATCTGTCAGAAGGGAGCCTCAGAACATGTCTTCTTTTATCTGGCTGCACTCTGAAGGAGGAAGGGCATTGCAGGCCCCTGGAGATGTTCCTATTAAAATAACCCGAACTGCATTTGGGGATATGATTTTCTTCTTTTTACAGATGAGAAAGGTGAGGCTGGCACAAGAAATGATTTGCCCTAGGAACCCAGGCTGCCTCTAGTTCTGGGGCCTGGCCAAGCACAATGCACTTGGAAGCAGTGCCAGGAACGGGGCACCCGGAACAGAAACACATCCACCTGCCCCCAGTTCAGCCTGGCCTCAGCCATGCCTCTACACAACTACCAGCTTCCCTCGGCCCTGCCCACCCCACACCGCCCAGTCACAGGCCGGGAGCCCTCTCTGCTGGACCATGAGCCACTGTAGGCACCGTCCAAGCAGGTTCCTTTCTGGATCCTCGGTGCCTACAGCTGTGCCAGGCATATAGTAGGTGCTGAGAAATTCAGCTGAAATCTCTGACCTGGTGGGACTGACATAGCAGGGTAAGAGAGAGACAATAAACTAACAAAAACGTAAGTAAAATACACAATTGGTCAATAGTGGTGAACGCTAGGGATGGAAACAAGGCAGGAATGAGGAACTGGGAGTGAGGGCAGACCTCACTGCAAAGTTGCCATCTCAGCCCCGGCCTGAAGGAGGTGAGGAAGACAGCCGTGTGGGTGCATACGGGAGGGAAGGGTCTAAGCAGAGGGGAACGCAATTACAAAGGCCCTGAGAATGAAGGCACAGGGACAGATGTGATTGCCCCAAATCTGCCAGCTAGTTTCTCACCAAAAAACCCATTCTATTCCCCAGCCAGAGGGCTCAGACAGGGCGCAGAGGAGCAAAGAAGTGCGCCTCGGCAGCTCAGGACATCTGGAATGTCACCATCTTCCCGCTGAAGACAGGTGTGGGGAAAGGCCCACGGGGAGGGGGCTGACATGTGCCTGGATAAGACTGAGGTCACCGCACCCTGGCCCCTCCCTGCCGGGTTTCTGGGGCTTGTGGCGTCCTGTCTCCTTGGCCGTGGTCCTTCTTAGCTCCTAGGGCCTTGTCCCGTGGTTGCTAAGAGTCACTCCCCCTTGTATCTGTAGACGGTTTTCAAACATGTACATCTGGTCCTCACTGCAGTCTCAGATGACAAATGGTGGAAGCATCACCATTCCCATTCTACCCAGAAGGAGAAAGAGCTCAGAGCTGTGGTCACTCAGTGTGCGATCTTGGCCGGATTTCTGAACATTTCTGGACCTCATGCCCTCCTCAAGGTAAAATGAGTAGACTCGTGGTGCTTCTCCAAGTGTGGTGCAGGGACCAGTGGCCTCCTACCCAGCTGGGGAGAGTGTCCACATGCAGATTCCTGCTCTGGAAGACTGTGAGTCTAACCCGAGGAGGACACCACAGAGGCCCAGAAGTGCTCACATTTCCAGGGTGCCACCTCAGGGAGGGTGGTAGTCTGGGAACCTACGTTTTCAACAAGCTTCCTACATGATTCAAAAGCACACTTCGGTTTGATAACTACCCACCTATAGGCTCTCTCTGTATGCTTCCAGTAATAGAGCCCTCTGATTTTATTGCCCTGTGTTTAAGAATTCACCACAAAAAGCAGAGCTGCGGTATAAGTAGATATTCTCTCCATCCTGCCTCACTGTCCCAAGCCAGGTGAAGCTCCGATCCCAAACTTGTAACTCATGCTTTGGTGGGTTAGTGCAAATTACACCTGGTTAGTGCAAATTACACACTGGGGCTCTGGGGCTTGGGGATCCTGGCTACTTCTTCCAAGCTTCACCCAGGCTTCACGTGTGACCCATGAAGGAAAGAATGCCATTGAATCGTATTAATGTTTGCTTTAAAAGGAGTGTTATGTCCTTAAAATACCTAAATAATGTCACAACATCACGTCATGAGGTGTACTAGCCAACCAGGTTGATAACTTGAATATTCAGATCAAAATATAACATCCATGACCCCCATCATGGATGCTGTCTTTTAATTTCAAGCAGGCTGAACCCCCTTCTTTGCTCCTGCTGCCTAAGTGACAATATTCACCCACACTCCTCACTTATCTTTGTAACCCGTAAATTCTCTACAAACACAGTAGGCCCCTCGTGGAAGTGGTGAGCCCCCGAAACTGGCATGGGCTGATTCACACAGTATTCACGTAGTATGTGCTAAATAGATACTTGAATGAGTAAATGAGTGAATTGGTTCTTTCTTGAAAACAACAAAGTCAAAGAGTGTTGACAAAGGAAATGCAGTAGGCGTCAACCGTTGGTTTCTGACAGGGATTTGATGAGGCCTAGCATGAAATGGAGCTGGATGTTAGAACTGGGTGGGTTTGTGACTGGTTAAATGACCACAATCTAAAAGTGCTGATTAATGGATCAATATTAGCCTAGTGGCATGTTTTGAATAACTCTGTCTTTGGCCTGGGCCCTGAAGTACCAATTAGTTTTTTTTTATTGACAAACTTTAAGGTACAGAAGCCACGCTTACTGAATCTGCAGACACAAGGTCTGAAGAGACAGCATATGTGATGAGCAGCTGATCAGGATCCTGACAGTCTGGAGCCATGAGCTGAACCCATCAAGAGAAATCTAAACGGTGGTAAACATCAGACCCACCCAAGACATCACCTACACATCCCATAGGAGGAGGGTGGCCTCGTTTAATGGCAGTACAGTGGGAACAGAGATTTAGCTGATACTAGCTTAAAAAAAAAAAAAAAAAGAATATGGTCTTAGGACATATGGAAAGAGAAGCATAGCCCCTAATGTGGAGGGAGGTGAAAGTTTAGCCCTGCTCTGTGCTGGTCACTCCGCTGCTGGGAATCTCACTTTAGAAGAAGCACCGACAAGTGGGACAAGTGGAACACGTTCTGGAGAGTGTCGCTAGGATGCTGAGGGCACTCAAAACAAAAGCTTAAGAGGCTGGATCGGAAGAAGTAGATATGTTTAGCCTGGAGAAATAAAAACCCAGCTCCCTGCAACCTTGCCAAACTGTCAAGTAGAATTAGCCTCTCTCTGGGTTGCCCCAGAGAACAGAATTAAGATCAATGACCAGAAATCCTAGTGAGGAAGATTTCTGAAGATAACAGAGATACGGGAAAACATCATAATATCTATAGCCAGCCACAAGCCAAACAAAAGGGTTGTTTGGGGAAGGAGGGAGCTTTTAAATCTGGGGTTGTTCAAGCAGAATTTGAATGACTTTTGGGCAGGGATAAGGTTGAACAGGGTCAAACATCAGATGGAAGATGTAAGGTCCCTTCTAACCCCATTCCATGTTCACTAAATACATGTTGAAATAAAGCCCCGATGCCTCTCATTCCTGTTCCTCCTTGGCCAAGTGAAATGTAAGTAATCTGGGATTTTACATGAAGGGCTGGCAACTCACCAGCAATTTGCAAAGATCACTCAGGGTGTTGTTTGCAGAGTCCATGCCCAAATTTGACACAACTTGACATGACAACCACACACTAAACTTGGGGGTTGTTACTTGGGGCGTGCACCTGGCTCTGTTCGCCCCTTTTCCTCTCACCCTACTGAACACTACTCTCTCTGTATTTTTTCTAGAAAAGGAAAATCACAATAACTGTCAATCCAAGATCAAGGCTGGTGCTACCCACTGGTAGCTCACTTTCTGCATTTCACAAAGCCACGCCAGGCAATTTAACCTGAAAACATGCTGGAAGACCTGTAGGTCTAACGGACCCACGTGGTTCCTCTGGCTCCCAGTAGTTTGGGCTGCTCCCCAAAATCACTGCCGGTGGGGGGGCAGACAGAGGGTCCTGGGCCAGGACGCCACTTACTGTAAAATAAAACATTTCTGTCTCCTGCTGGTTGGCTCTCCTCTTGGCGATGTTGAGCTTGCTCATGTAGGTCTCGGAGGCGGCTGACTTCACAGACTCTGTGGATCGGCTGTGTTGGAAGGCGTCGGAGACGTCAAAGTCCTCCACAGTCAGCATGTCCTGCAAGGTCTGCATGGTGGCGTCCAGGGTTTTTCTAACCTGGGGAAACACAAAAATCCTTCAGGTTGACAAAAATCCTTCAGCCTCGGAATGCCTTTGACACCTCATAGCCCCTTCCCAACCGTTCCTTGATTTCTTCCACACAAAGCATCAGGAGGCAGGCAGGACGAAGATGCTCATTCCTGTTACAGTGATGTGGAAAGTAAGGCCAGCAGCTGGCTGGGGGGAGAAGCCAGGTGGCCTAATCTAAAGTCAGGTCATGGGACTGCTTCTGCTGGAGACAACGTCGGAGAAGGTTGTGACCAACAAGGAACTTGGGTTTTGAGGTTTGTGTTTCTTTATGGTTATACAACCCCAAACCAGCTCCTCCTGGGAGGCAGGTCCCTGAGGAGGAGCAACGCCAGAAACGCTCCCCGTTTCCTTCATCCAGAGAAGGGAGGGGACACAGTCTGGATAAGGGCAGCGCTGTCCTCAGTGAGTGAACTCCTCTGCTGTCGGCCACTGAGTCCACGCAAGCCTGACTGAGATAAAACAGCCTCGAGGAAGATAGACCCAAGACACACGCAGTGTGCTCGGTCCTCCAGGACTCCGACTCCTCTCCCGGGACCGAGCAGGACCCCGGAGGCTCCACACGCAGGGCCCCGGCCTCCCCACAGCCCTTCACTGAACTGTGCCTAAAGGGCGTACTGGAACTTGGATGGAGGGTCGCTCCAAACACAGTCCTGGGGGAACTGCGTCCACATTCGCTCCACAGTGATTGCTGCTCAAAGCCTCTCTTGTCACTCAGATCTCAACTTAAAAGTCGCCTCCTGGTGACATCAGGCCTCCCCCCACCCACCCCCGACCACCACCCTTAACTTAGTGTCTGATATTCTGTGTACGTATTCATTTATGGGTTCGTTCGCTTCCATGTTTTACCACCTGTCTTTTCTCACTAGAACATAAACTCCGTGAGAGGAGGTACTATATTGTCTCATCCACTCACTTAACTCTGCACAATGTTTAGCGCATAGTATGTGCTAAATAAATACTTGAATGAATAAATGAGTGAATCGGTTCTTTCTAACATAGGCTCACAGAAGCTCAGGTTCAAAACTGAGCATTTCCATGGCCATGAACAGCCTACCCAGAGGAGCATGTGCTTCACCCACCTTTCTGTGCCCCGATTTTCAATTTAAATTCCATTAACATTATTATCCATATACAGCATATACCGTTCCATGTAAACAATTTAAAACGCTTCACGGGAAGATGTAGGGCATAAATAAAGACAGAAAACACTGGCCATATCCTCTCTCTTCTCAGGTTTGATAAACAAATATATAATTTGTCTCCACATAACCACTCCCCAGGGACTGCTTTGATTCGTTCATCCTTAGCTACACTCTGGCTCACGTTCGTCCTGGCTACGTCCTTTTTGAAGACACAAAGCAACCTGCCCTCTCTGCCTAGAACAGCCCTCTTGAGGTCTGAAGACAGGGACCACGGCTCCCCATCTCCAGCTGCAACTGCACTTCTCAAGGATGGACCTGCCCATGATCTCGGGTGACACTCCCATGTCCTGGTGTCCTCCAATTGGGTGATGTCCTCCCTGGGTGGGGGCATCCCGGCTGGAACAGGAGGTCTCCCATGTGGCCTCATCAGTGCACATCAGAATGGAGCCACTCCAGCTGGTACTTCCATTTGTGCCCACCTGGCAGAAGTCCTGAGGCACCAGCTGCAAGGGAGGTGTGCTGGCCACGGTGAGACAGAAGCTCCCTGGAGCTCAGAATCTATGACACATTTAGTGTGCCCTGGGTTATTGTGTAATTTAAAATACCTACTACATTTCTGATGATAAAAATAACATAAGCTCACTGCAGAAAATAGAGAAAAGCACAGAGAAGAAAACAGAAATCACCTATACTCCTGCAACCCAGACAAAACCACTATCAACATTCAAAGTATTTCCTTCCAGTCTTTTTCTCTATGCCCGTGAATATGCACAGAAACATGCACACATATTTCAGTTTATCCTGGTTAGGACAGTACTGAACATAGAGTTCTACTTCCTCCTTGCTTTTCTTTAACATCTTGTGAGCATTCCCCATGCCATCAAAGATTCTTGGTGTAGTTGGTTTTGACAGTTGTGCATGTTACAGATGAACCCTGATTTCTTACGTGTTCCATGGCAAGAGTAGACTCTGCAGGACCAGTCAGGCCTTTGTAAAGAAATCCTCACAGGGTGGAGGGGCTCACTCACCTCCTCATTCTCGATCTTGAGAGTGGCCAGTCTGGACTGCAGCTGGTGGTACCGCATGAGCAGTTCCGTCTGGACGGGCTGCTGAGCACTGACCTGGCACACCTGCAGAAATGACAGCCACCGCCTGTGGTTGACCGGGGCCCTTGCCACCTGTGCGTAGCTGGGGCCGGCCTATCATTAACATCCCCATCGACAACTGCAGAAGCAGGCCTGGAAAGGTTAAGTGACCTACCCAAGGTCACACAGCTTGTACTCAGCAACACCAGAGCCAGCCGGGAGCCAGGGGCCACCCTCTCACGCTCTCGGTTGTGGTCTACATTTGTGCAGCATGTGATGGTTTGCTACTCAGAGCTTGGACATAATCTCATTAAGTGAGACTAATTGGTTAATTTCCAGGCAGGAAGTGGTGGTAAGGAAGCAACTGCCTAAGAGAAGCCAGTGAAAAGAACAAAGGATGGGAAACAGTCAGCAGAGTGGCCCAGTAGGAAGATGCTTGAGAGAGAGGCAGGCATGGGGCAGCGGCCCTCTCACAGGGGCCGCTGAGAGAGGAGGGGAGAAGAGAAGAAGATGAGAGAGCGATACTGTTCGCCTACACCCATTCCCACCAGGGCTCTCACCACCTGTGGGCTGGGCTGCCTGCCGAAACTTGGCTGAGCTCATAAGGGACAGCAGGCCTCTGTTCTTTACCACTAACTGGGCAACCCAACCCTGCAGTCACCAGCTGATGAGCCAAAGGGCTGGACATGAGGGCACAGGGATGGGGCAGGAGCTGTGGGGAAGTCCGGCAGAAGGCATCTCTTGCAAATGAAGAAAGTGGGCAGAGCCACTGGAGGGTCCAGCAAATGCCATCGTTAAAGGCGCCTCCTGGTCCCTCCCTGTTAAGCAGGTACAGCGACAGCCCAGCTGAGCTCCCACTGGGATCCAGAGGCTGGCTGGGTCCCCCTGACTCTCGTGTGCCTGGGGGGAGGGAACGGGGCCACTAGGAGAAAGTTCTGGGCACATGTCCCTGGGGTAGAGATGGTGGAGACGGGGAGGCAGATATGACACCTGGTGGCTCTCTCCGTTGGTTCCAAGGACTGGGGCTTGAGCCCTGGAGAGAGGGAGGAATGACATGGAAAAGCTCAAGGAGCTATTTTCATAAGAAGTTGTGTGAAACTCAGGTAACTAGTGTGCTGCTTAGGGGCTAGTGAAGAGCGCCTTCTCCCATTTTTTTTTCCAGAACATAATGAGGATGTGAGCAGCGCAAGCCCTGAAGAAAACTGGGTTGGCTGGTACTCCAAGGGCTCACGGCACTGGAGCACAGGTCCGAGTGGCTCTGCTGAGGCCCCGCCTTCGGTGATTTGAGGCCATCCATCCGAGGGGAGAACGTGAGATGATTGTCTGTGTGCAGATGTGGGACTCCCTTGGGGTCTTCTAGACATAGCTGCGAGGGATTTCATGGGAAGCTATGGTCTCGCAATTCTGCAGGTGGGGGACTTGAGCTGCCAAGATTAGGGTATTCGTGGTAAACTCCTCAGCTAGGGAAGCCCATGCACCAAGAACTTGACCCCAGGCCTCTCCGCTGACGTTCTCCTCCCACTGATGCTCTGGGAGCCCATGGGAGACAGATGGAAGCAACCTCAAGCATGGGCTCCTGGGAGAAGCCTACCTCGTCCCCCATGTGGGGCTGGAACTCAAACTTGAGGGGGGGACAGAAGACCTGGTTGCACATGTCCATGACTGTGTGCTTGTCACTTCGGGAATCCAGGTTGTCCACCGCGTTCTCGATGACGTCCAGCCCCTCGTGACGAGAGGTCTCCAGGTTGTACTCGGCTGAGAGGTAGGTCCGGAAGGTGCGGGCCAGGCTGGCATGAAAGCCCAAATCACAGCACTTGGAGAGAAGCACACACAGAAGGTGCAGGTGAGGGTGGTGACATGGAGGTGGGGCCGTCACAGTGACTTACGATTACCTCCTATTCCATGGTCAAATCTTTCATGCTGGAGGCCCTCATGCACTTTGGAATCTTACCACACAAGTCATGGCAAAGCCCTCGGAGGGAGCGGGGGACTGCGATCTGGGCAATGACAGTGCTCCTCGCGGCTCCCCAAACTCACTGCTTTCTTTCTCATCTCCAGGCCTTTACACACGCATTCCCTCTGCCCGAAGACTCTTCCTCTCTCCTCCTGCCTAAATACTCTTCCTTTGGTTTCAGTTTAGAGGTCACTTCCTCCAGGAAGCCTTCCTTGATGTTCTCCCCACTCAGAGTTCACACCAGGTGTCCCTCATCCAGGTGTCCACAACTCCCTCCACCTCTCTCATGGTAACACCCACTGCTTGGCATTACGTTTGCCTTTAATGCATCAGGGTTATGTAGGCTGAGCTCCATGAGGACAGACCCACTGGCTCTTATCCACTGTTGTACCTCAAGAGCTAGAGCTAGAAAGCACTCAATAAAAATTTGGTAAATAAAAAGATGAAAGGGTTGGGTGAAAAAGAAAGCTGAAAGGTAGGAAAAAGGAGGGGTCTGGCCCCCGGGCATTTGGAAGGCAGGACCAGGCAGCTCCCTCTCCTGGGGGTGGTGATAATGGCGATAATGGGTCCCCTCTGCAGCCAAGGGAAGAGCGGTGACCCTCTGACTTCCTGACAGGATACACCCAGGCCAGAGGAAAAGGACGCACCCACCCTCAAGGAAGCCTGACCGAGCATCTGCTGGGCCGGATCCCTGTCTGCATGAACACATGCGAAGCAGCCCCAGCTCTGTCACAGATGATACAGGAGCCTCCCCGAAGGCACCACTCACAGAATTCTTTCCCGAAACCTCATTGTCCTACCAGTGTGTCCTGCACAGCTGGTGCTCAGCAGTCAGTGTTCCATTTTCCTCTTGCTTAAACTGCCTGATTTCTCCCAACATAACATCCCCAAGTAAAGCTGACCTGTATAATTTTGTCTCATTCATTGTTTTCTTCCGTATGTGCGTGTGTGTCTAGTGGACTGGACCCAGGCGTGTTAAACAGATAAGCATCTTTACCACCCTGGGAAGTTCCCCAGGGCATGAACTGTGTACGATCACCCCTGTACCCCCAAATCCAGTAAAAGACCTGGTGTAGAGGAGGACGCTTGGAAAGTGCACGCTGAATTACAACTGCCCAGCCCAGGTGTGCAAGGGCCGCCAGAGGCCCACTCCCACCCATGGAGGTAGAAGCCACAGGGTGATACTCCTTCCCAGGCCCCAAAGGCTCCCTGTCCTTCCCCTCCGTTAGGGCTCCAGGGGCCACTGGCCGCCCCATATGCCAGCTAAGGACAAGGGCCAGCCCTCCCTCAGCTGATGACTCGCACCAGGCGGTACAGGACCCTGTTCAACCCCAGACTCCCCAGGAGCTCACGTCGATGAGGTCAGAGACATCGTGGATGTAGTATTTGCTTATAGCTGCGTTGGTGGCCGCCAGATTCAGCAAGTAGTCGTTCCGGGCCTTAGTGCATTTCAGCTTGTTCTCAGAATACTTTGCCTGCCTCTGGAGGAAGGAAAGAGTGGATGTGAAAGCAGAGCCGCTGATGGGAGGGATTTGAGATTTTCTTTAGGGTCACTGCCTGCGATCAGCTCCCCGCACGGCCCTGGAAAGCCTTACTCCATGGGCCAGGTGAGTAAGATCTGGACCCCGTACTCAAAAAGCTCACCTGACACTGCACATGTGCAGCCATCGTTGGCACTGTCGGGTAAGCAGTGGCCTTTTCCGGGAGTGTAACTAAGACCTCCGGAGGCCCCTACTCAACACCCCCAGAGGCTGCCCAAACCCGGACGACAGCCTGTGAAGCCCTCCTGACCTGGCTCTTCCTCCATGCTCCTGTCATCCCCTCCTCTGCACGTCCTTTAAGAGGCCAAGTTCATTCCTGCCTCTAGACTCAGACCCATTCCCTCCGGCTGGCAGGCCACCCTTCCAGGTCCCTGCGTGGCCTGCTCCACGTCATTCAGGTCCTTAGCCATGGTCACACAGTCGCATGGGCCTCTGACCACACAACCGTGTCTAAAATGTGTCCCCGGCATCTTGACTGCCTCCTCCCCACATTCTATCCTGCTCTATTTTTCCCATTCATTTAATCTTTGTTCAATTTTTAGTGATTATTTTCATTTTTATTTAATTTTTAAGAGACTCTTTTTTTAGAGCAGTTTTAGCTTCACAGCAAAATTGAGAGGAAGGTGCTGAGATTTCGTGCACACACCCCTACTCCCATACACACACCACATCCCCCCAATATCAACACCCCCCGGCACCAGGTGGTACATTTGTTACAATTGATGGACCTATACTAACACATTGTAGTCACCCACAGTTTACCTTAGGGTTCAGTCTTGGTGTTGTACATTCTGTGAATTTGAACAGATGTATAATGACATGTATCCATCATTAGAGTATCAGAGCAGTTTCCCTGCCCTGAAAATCCTCTGTGCTCTACCTGTTCATCCCTGTCTCCCACCTAACTGCTGTAACCACTGACCTTCTTACTGTTCCATAGTTCTGCCTTTTCTAGAATGTCATATAGTTGGAATCGTGCAGTATGTAGCCTTTCCAGATTGGTTTCTTTCACTTTGTAACATGCATTTAAGGTTCCTCCATGTCTTTTCATGGCTTGACAGCTCATTTCTTTTTAGTGCTGAATAACATTCCATTGTCTGGATGGACCACAGTAACTTAGCCACTCACCTACTGAACGACATCTTGGTTGCTCAATTTTTTTCATAAGTACTTTTCACCACCCCAAATTACATTTTTTACCTCTTTGATTACTTGATGATTTTCAGGGTCCCCTGCTAGAAAGTAAGCTCTGTGAAGTCAGGGACTTAATGGTCCCTGCTCATGACTGAGCCTACAGCACCCAGAACAGTCCCTGCACGGGCAGCATGAAGTGACTGTCACTGGCTGTCTGGCTGTGCGTGGTGGGGAGAGGCGGGGTGGGCAGCCAGAGGTGCAGTCTCGGTTAGGAGCTGGACCGCCTCCCTGGGAAGCTGTTTCTGTTCTGGGCCATCCTGGGCAGGAAGCAGTAAAGAGTCCGTGGGTTACAGAGCTGTCCCCTTGCCCCCTTCAGACAGATGAGTCCCACTGCTGAGGAGAGAGACAGCTCTCCTTAAAGAAACAGGGCTTCTTCCTACCTAGGCACTCTCAACCTTCCTTCCTCCAGATTGAGTTCTCTAGCTGTTCAGTAGAGATGCCCCCATTGTCAGCCTTTTAATTCTCTTCAGACATCTCCTCTGACCTTTCTCCAGGGTTCACTTATTCTGGGAATTTCTAGAAACAAACTTCTGGTTATACCCTGTACCAACCACACACCCACCCTCCACAGAGAGTTTTGAAATTCCTGGCCCATTTCCAGGGGGCTACTATAACCCTGAGACCATTTTCAGCTGTTCATGGACTCATAAAATTTTATGCCTGGAAAGGATACTTGAAGATATCTTACTTTAATTCATCCATTTTATAGGCGAGGAGATGAAAATTGAAAAGAAGTTGGCTGTCCAAGAGCCAAATGGCCAGTTAGCATACAACTCTGAACTAAAACTTAGTCTCCAGACCCCACTAACCAGTGCTTTCTCTACCTCTCTACATATCCCCTCTATAGCTACCCCCCTATGTTGTAGCTCCATAATTCCCTGCCTCGTTATCTTTTTTTTTTTTTTTTTTTTTTGCGGTACACGGGCCTCTCACTGCTGTGGCCTCTCCCATTGCAGAGCACAGGCTCCGGACGCGCAGACTCAGCGGCCATGGCTCACGGGCCCAGCCGCTCCGCGGCACGTGGGATCCTCCCAGACCGGGGCACGAACTCGTGTCCCCTGCATTGGCAGGCGGACTCTCAACCACTGCGCCACCAGGGAAGCCCCTGGTTATCTTATTTTTAACATTCATTTCTAGTATATTCACAGACATATTGTACAACCATCACCACTATCTAAATTTAGAATATTTTCATCACCCCAAGAGAAACCCTGCACCCATTAGCAGTCACTCTGCATTCTTTTCTGCCACGGCTCCTGGCAACCAATAATCTACTTTCTGTCTCTATGGATTTATCTACTCTGCACATTTCAAATAAATGGAATCATGTAATATGTGGTCTTTCGTGACAGGTTTCTTTCACTTAGCCTACTGTTTTCAAGGTTCATCCATGCTGTAGTCTGTATTCATTCCTTTTCATGGCTGAATATTCCCTTACAGGGATTCACCATATTTTATTCATCAGCTGAAGGACGTTTATTTATTTGGATTGTTTCTACCCTTTGGCTATTATGCATAATGCTGCTACGAACATTCATGTGCAAAGTTTTGTCTGGACACATGTTTAAATTTCTCTTGGGTGGATACCTAGGAGTGGAACTGCGGAGTCATATGGTAACTCTATGTTTAACATTTTGAGGAACTTCCAGACTATGTTCCAAAGTGGCTGCATCATTTTACATTCCCTCCAGCAATGTATGATGGTTCCAATTTCTCTACACCCGCACCGACACTTGTGATTATCGGACTTTTTTTATCTTAGCCATCATGGTGGGTGTGAAGTGGTATCTCACCGTGGTTTTGAATTGCATTTCCTTAATAACTAATGATGCTGAGCATCTTTTCATGTATTTATTGGCCACTCATATATGTTCTTCAGAGGTATGTCTATTCAATTCCTTTGCCCTTTTTTTTTTTTTTTTTTGCGGTACGCGGGCCTCTCACTGCTGTGGCCTCTCCCGTTGCGGAACACAGGCTCCGGACGCGCAGACTCAGCGGCCATGGCTCACGGGCCCAGCCGCTCCGCGGCACGTGGGATCTTCCCGGACCGGGGCATGAACCCGTGTCCCCTGCATCGGCAGGCGGCCTCTCAACCACTGCGCCACCAGGGAAGCCCCCTTTGCCCATTTTTTAACTGGGTCTCTGCCTGGTTATTGTGGAGCATATTTTTCTTTGCCTTTGGAAATTACCCTGAAATTTTATTTTACCTGCCTTTGGTTACTTGGCCAGCTTACCCAGGTCCTGTTGGATTATGTTCCCACTCAATCTCCTATAATTTTTAAGAGCTGTAGGATCATATAATCGTAGAATTAGTCTCATAGAAGCCCAAATAAACATCTGATGCAATGTTTGCAAATAGAAAGAGCTCAGGAAATGTTTGCTGATTTCATGGAATGAATGAATGCAGAGAATTCAACAAGAATATCATAGCTTTTTAAGAAGAAAGGAACCTTAGAAGTAACCCAATCTAGGATGACAAAAAGCAGCATGCACACTGCCCCTCTAAATTCCTTGGCCAAGACAGACATCATTAATTGATCACAGCACTGTCTTTAACTAAAGCCTCGAGAGGGCTCACAATCCTCAGCATAGGGCTCTGGGCAGCCACTATCAATTGATCAGAGTTGACATGAGAAAGGAGATTTGTTTGCCATCACTGTCAGTTTTTAAAATTGAAGGTCAGGGACTTCCCCGGTGGTGCAGTGGTTAAGAATCCGCCTGCCAATGCAGGGGACATGGGTTCGAGCCCTGGTCCGGGAAGATCCCACATGCCGCGGAGCAACTAAGCCCATGTGCCCCAACTACTGAGCCTGTGCTCTAGAGCCCACACGCCACAACTACTGAGCCCGCGTGCCACAACTACTGAAGCCCGTGTACCTACAGCCCATGCTCCACAACAAGAGAAGCCACCTCAAGGAGAAGCCCGCACACCACAACGGAGAGTAGCCCCCGCTCGCCGCAACTAGAGAAAGCCCGCGTGCGTAGCAACAAACACCCAAAGCAGCCAAAAACAAATTAATTAATTAACTAATTTAAAAATAAATAAATAAATAAAATAATATTGAAGGTCAGAGAGTTGCTGTACATGTGGCATCTTCAAAACTCAGCCTGACTCCAAAACTAGCACTTTCACCATGCCCTACCAAAGCACTTTCCCAGCACCAACACACAAGGATTCTCACTGGCCCAGCTTTGGCTTGGCGATGGCAATTTCTTCAGAATGGTTCTTTACCTGGTTCCCAGGTGCTGGTTGGTACGCCAGCGCCGTTCCCTCTTGTTGGGACACACGAAGTCCCAATCAGCCCCCCGGCCACTAAACTGAGGTCCAGGGCAGGCCCTGGTGATTCTTGCCAGAATGTGCTCGCTGGGCGAGAGTCTCATCGCAGTTCAGCTGTCTTGCCAGCTGAGTGCCTCTCCTGCTGTTGGCCCTCGCCTGAGGCCTAACAAGTGTGAGCAGAGGCATGGCCAGCCCTGCCTCTACCGTGACACTGACCTCCAAGACAGCAGACGCTGGCAGCATTATTCCAGCTCTAGTCCCTCAGGGTGCGGAGGCGGAGGCTGAGGCTGTGGGGAGCCTGGCCCTCCCCTTCCTTCCCACCCCGATACCCGGGGCCTTCACTCGCCTTCTCCTTCATCTTCTCAATCTTCTTCACGGAGCTACGGCGCTGGGGCCGGTCCTCATGCCGGAGCAGGTTCATGCTGAGGTCTCCCGACTTGTTGAACTGCTTCTCCTCCTGCTTCTCAGCCTCCTTCAGCTTGCTTTCCGCACTGATGCTCTCCGCATGGTACATGTGGTAGGTTTTCATGACCTGGAGACACACGAGTGTGGGAAATCAACAGGCTGTTATGGCCCAGCAAGGGTGGCCCTAGCGCTGGCAGCCCCCATCCAAGTTCTGTGTTCCAGTCAGCTCTGTCCCGGCCCTCTTCCCATGACATGCTCTGAAATCCCACAACCCTTTACTTTTGCACAGACTGTCTGAGGACTGGAAATGACGATCATCATCAGCAGCAGCAGTTTCATCATCATCATCATCAACAACATCATTAAGTGATTACTAAGTGCCAGGAATGGACCAGTAAAGAGGAAATTTAAAAGGGCCACCACAGGCCCTGGGCATTTTGGGGCTCTCAGAGGTGATATGGTGAACACAGCCTTCTTCAGCTGCCCTCTCCGGCCCTGCCAGCTGTGTCTCTTGTGTCCTACTCCTCCCCACAGTGTCGCTGGAAAAGGCCCTCCTCAGGTACCCGCGGGATTTCTATGGGAACATCCTTCTTACACACAAATCGTTATCTCAGCTGTTTCCTTGAGTAAAATTGGCCTGTAAATGGCTCTGTTCTCCAAAGGAATATTATTGGGTAACCTAATAGATATTCTATGCTCTCAGAAATAAACTCATCCTTGGCTATAAAATGAATTCCTATAAAGAAAATTGCACTTTGCTACTCTACTTCCACATTAAGAGTTGGATATTGTTGTATCAAGGGAATTTTTGAGTCAGAAGGAATCCTATACATCATCTAATCCAACCACCAAATTTTACAAATAGGGACACTAAGGCCCAGAAGGACAGGGTGACTTATCCAAGATCATACAGTATTATCAGCATAGTTTCCAGACTTTACATCCATGGGATCATCATCACCATCAAGATACAGAACACTCCCATCACACCAAAAAGATCCCTCTTGACCCTTTCCAGTCGATCCCCACCCCTTGCCCCAGCCACAGGCAATCACCGATTTGCTTTCTGTCACTGTAGATTGTTTTTGTGTGTTCTAGAACTTCATGTACATGGACCCATTGAGTATAAACTCTTTTACACCTACCCTTGCTCACTCAGCATAATTTTTTTGAGATTCTCCCATGTTGTTGCATGTATCAGAAATTCTTTTTTACTGCTGAGTAGTATTGCCTTGTATGGCTATACCATAATTTGTTTATCTGTTCATGTGTTGACCGTTATTGGGGTTGTTTGCAGTTTTTGGCTCTTACGAATAAAGCTGCTAGGAATGTCCATGTACCATTCTTTATGTGGACATATATTTTCGTTGCTCTTGGGTAAATACCTAGGAGTGGAATGGAGGAGGGTCATATAGTAAGTGTATATCTAACCACATTAAAAATCTGGTCTCAGACTTTTAATTCTATCATATCATACCGGTTCCTTAATTCATTACCATTTGTTCCTCAGATGTGAGTATTTGGGGCAGCCTTAGAGCAAGCTGGGCCAGGCCCATACCAACAGTATTCTATCTCCCAGTCCCCAACTAGGAGTACACTTCCCTTTGCAATATCAAGTTTATGACCATCTTTCTATGCTAAGAAACATAAGAAATTTCTGGAATTCATGGCTCCTGAGCCTTGTTGGTCCTCTTCTCCTGTTGTTTGGAAAATTACAGCAGCTAATGGAGCAGAAGCTTCCGCCTCGGGATGGGATGTGCTTCTGACAAGCCAGGCCCTTTAAGTCAAGGAACTCAGAATGAATTACTGGCCAATGTTATAACCTTATTCACTGTCATTTAAAGTCCTGTGAAGTGAGACTTTTAAATGAGGACTTCCTCTGTGATTCTTACTGTGAAATCACAGCATTGATCTATTGTTAAGAAAGTCCCCTTTGTCATATGTCAGGAGTCAGTGGGGGCAACATCTATTGTAGAGCATGTCAGGTAAGAATATGGCCTCTGGCCCAAACGTCTGGGCTGAATCCTGATGCTGCCACTTACCGGCTGTGTGACCTTGGGCAAGTCACATAACCTCTCTGACATCTGCTCCCTCATGTATAAAATGGGGATGATAATGGCACCTACCTCATAGGTTTGTCGTGAGGACTAAATAAGTTAATTTTTTATAAGGTGCTAAAGGCAATACCAACCACACAGTAAAAGCCATGTAAGCATTAGCTGCTACCATCACCACCAGCATCGACATCCCTGATTTGGGCTGAGGGTTTGAAAATCTTGAACTTACTCACTTGACTTCAGGAAAATGCTCACAAACTCTAAAAAACATTAGCTAATGTGAAAAAAAAATTATTCTACACCATGTTTCTCCCTCCTTTCATCCTGAAAACCTCCCCACGTTTCAAAACAATAAATGAAAAACTGAAATCAACTTTTCTTCTTGGGTCTTGGTGGAAAGACTTCTTCTCTGCATCCCACCCATCTCTGCTCATCTGCAGTTGCCCTAAAGCCTCTAGAGATGCCCTTCTTGCTGATTTCATCCACTCCTTACGCCAATACCTCTAAGTTTCTTTCTAAACAACTCAATGGACCAGAAAGTGTGTTGGATCAATGTGTTCTTGACATCTAGTGGCCAAAGGGGATGACTGCAGGTTTACAGATAACCAAGGCAGTTGCCTACTTTCAACCACCTTTAAGCCATGGCACCTGGAACATAACGCAGCTCAGAGTCGGGAAGCCGGCTGAAGGCTGTCTCCGGGCCTCTCTCCCATTCTTGAACCTTCCCTCTACACCTCCACATTCACAGGCACCACTACTTTCTTTGCTCCTCCCCCTCTATGTGATCCAGTTGGTAATTCCTGATCCCAAGAATAATGGTGAACTTGATCACTGGTGTCACTTACGTCAGACAGCTGCCACAAAAGAGCTTAACCTAGGGACCTCTCTGAAGTGAGTCTAACTATTTATGCCCAGAATCTTCTAAGATGTTTCCTTTATTTAATTACCTGAAACATGGGCTTCAGGATGAAAGGCCCTTAGCGCAATAGTCTAGAACAGCCTGCTCAGTATTGCCAGTCCAGGAGATGCTGAATAATATTTTAAAATTATCTATTACTTCACAGAGTTTGCAAACCTCTCTATTCATTATCACCAAGGAGCATTTCAATTAATCTTTACCCCAATCCTGGGAGGCAGCATGATAACAATAATAACAACAATAGCAGCTAACACTTACTGACCACTTACTACACACCAGGCCTAGTTCTAAGCACTTCACATATATTAACTCACTTATTTCTCACAAAAACCCTGTGACGTAGACTATATCATCCCTGCTTTACCAAAGAGGAAACCACGAAATAGGGATGAAAGGGTCCTCTGCCCCACAGGGACTCAGGAGACCCGGTTTTGAAACTTGACCTTCCCACCACTTGCTGGATGACTGTGGCAGAGGCTTGACCTCTCTGTGCTGCCTGGCAAAGGCCAGAGAGCGGGGGCTATGAAAGAACTCAGTAAGCTGTGACTGTAGAGTGGCGGGCTGACAGCAGTGCTGGGGTGGGGAAGGGAGCAGAAGTGGATGCAGGAGTTGAGCTGAGGCCAAGTCACTGGGACCTGGTCTTCAACCCGGGCTCTCCAGAGGGGCCCTCAGAGGCACCCACCCAGCTTACTGCCAGATGGGCGTTCTCTTTCCAACCCTCAAGACCCTATCAGGGAGAGCCTTTCAGAAGAAGTCCAGCACAGGCTAAGAAGTACTATATAGGAACATGTAAGTGAGACCATTATTCTTGGCCCAAATCAGTTTCATAGGTTATCAGAGGCCCTCCAGAAACTTTGGTGTATTAACCTGTCATTGAAAGAAACTAAGGCCCAGAAATAGCAAGCATGTGGCCTAAGTCACACAGCAAGCCAGATGGCCGGGCCTTCCAAGCTGTGGACATTGCCTTTTCTGGTGATCATGCTGCCTTTGCTGTGTATACTTTGCCTTTTGCATCTTCCCAAACCCTCAGATCATGAAAACAGGAAAGTACTATCTGTACAGCTTTTCAGATCTGCATTTAAATGCAAAAGAAGGCAAAGGCAATCTGGAAGTTAACAGCATTAATACAGGGACATGCTGGGGCAGGAAAAGGATCAGTTTTTAGAAAATAGGTTCTCAACAATGCAGTCCATGTACACTTCCTCCACCCCACAGGAAGGGCCAGCCCTAGGCCACACAACAGTTGTGTATGAGGTGAGACCCTGGGCCAGGACATGACAAAGACACCCTTGAAGTACCCAAACTTCAGTCTGAGCGCCCACACTCTGTGTGGCCTACGTTCTCTGTAGAAATTATAATCACTGTCTTATTCCATTTGCACGTTTATAAACTGTCTCACCCAACTACAGTGCAAAGTCCATGAGGGCCAGGACGTTGTCCATGATCATAATCCCTGTATTAGAGCAGAGACCGGCACCCAGCAAGTAGCAATATATATTTGCATGAATGAGTGGACAACAGCTGACTGGCTGGCTGGATAAATGGGTGGGTGGATGGATGGATAGATAAGTGGGTGGGTGGGTGGATGGATGGGATGGAGGGAGGATAAAACAGGGGAGGTAGATTCTATTGCCTTTGCTCTGCTGAATATATTTGGGGGTAGGGCAACAGCTACACCTTCAATCATTTAATATTTATTGAACAGTTCATTATGTGCTAGTTACTGCACTCGGTGCCATTATAGGAAACACTACAATGTAGAAGACAGATATGGTCTCTGCCCTCACAGAATACACACCTTAGTAGGAACACAGACAGTTATGCAAGTGATTATCACAGGGTGTGATAAGTGCATGGATGAGGGGGGTACAGGGTGCTAAAGGAAGGCTTCCTGAGGAAGTGATATCTAAACTGAACCTTGAAGGAAGAGTAGCTATTAGCTAGGTGAACAGGGACTGGGGTGGGGATGGATTATTTCAGACAAAGGAAGCAGTGTCAGCATTAAGCCCATTAGAAGCAGGAGCCAAACAGGTTTGAGGAACAGCTTACAGGTAGAACATCAGGTGTTTGTTTGCAAACCAGCCAATGGAGCCACTTTCTCCTCCTTCCTGAGCTCCTCCCCCTCAGCAGACATCTGTTGTTGCTTTCTGC